GGGAGATATCAGGATGCCTGGGTAGAGTGCAGAACTCACACGTCTTTTTAGTCAAATAAAGGTCCAAAAATAGTTCTAGCACCAAAAAAAACTGAAGTTAAAAACGCCATCTCAGTGGCTAGAATCCCTAAATCCCCAAAGTGCTGATATCTTTAAAATGCACGTGGCTCGGTTTCTGTGCAAAGCAATTGGAAGGAGAAAACTTTCTGTAGAAATTGGATGGGGGAGGAGATTGACCCCAAACTCATCATTAAATACTGGACAAAAAATGATCACATCACATAGTGTAAATTCCCCTCCTCCCAGAACAATATTGAAAAAATTGAGAAATTAATTTCCTCTCCTCTGAGAAATCACTGAAATCATTTTTGTAATGCGGATGTATGCTGAACGATCCATACAAAGGCCTCCGGCATCAACAAAGGGAGTTGGATTTCAAAACAATAAAACAAAGGTCATCACCTTTAAGGGAGAATTGTTAATATGAGGAAGTGTTCGACTGTAGTGGTCCCTCTTCATATAAGTGAAAGAGGTTTGAAAGTCACTTCTTCTATCCCCACTGAAACCCCCTCTCTCTAGGCGGGATCTCTGGGCTGGCCAATGGTGAGGAATATGTACAAGACTTTCATGGAATATGGAAGTGATGGCCTGCATGTATTCCCCAGGGTCACACTGTTGTCCGTAATTGGAGTTGAGGTACAGATAATAATAATAATCCTTGCATTTCGTATAGCGCTTTTCACGTCTTCTAGATGTCTCAAAGCGCTTCACAGAATATGCTTTAAAGTGAATTGACTGTCTATGTTGTGGGCGAAACGCGGCAGCCAATTGCGCACAACAGTGGTCCCACAAACAGTCGTGGATTGAAGTGACCAAATTATTATTATTTTTTTTCTTGAGGGATTATTATCAGGCACGTGGAGTAAGGAAACTTGCCCAAGGTTTCGCCCTGCCGGGAATCGAACCTAGGTCTCTCAGCTATGATCTAATAGAATGGGGGAACAGGCTCGAGGAGCAGAATGGTCTTCTCCTGTTCCTATGTTTCTATGTTCAGCAATAGAGGCAGATACTGAGAGGCAGGTCATGGAGAGTATATGATGGATGGGGACAGTGGATGAGAGAACATTGCTCCATCACAGTCCAGGAAAGTGCGTCTGCAAGGGAATTCAAATCCATCTTACAACACAATTGGGCAGCACAGAAGTAGAACTTACAGATCAGGAGAGCCAATTCTCCATAGTCGGTTGAGCACTGCAATTGCATGAATCTAAAACAGAAAGGAATTTTCAAAATAAATTATGCATGCAACATAACTTTACAAAACACGTGTAAAGCATGTTACTGATGCCACTGACAAACCTGCACTTGAGAGGGAAGGAGAGCAGGAAAGAATTCCAACAATGATAAGGTTAGAAGTTTACCAAAAAATGGAATAAGATATGAACGTGAAAGGTGCTTTATAAAAGTAAATTGCATTGTATTTTATAATGACTATGATTCTGAAAGGGGAGCATTAACTGATAACATGTCTCATTGCAACTGCAGATAGACAATTGTGAACTATTAACACTAATTAGAAGGAATAATACACTAACATTCACAAAAGGACGTATTGGTTCAATTATGGCACACTTAGCAACAACTGATGCATGCACGTGAGGAAGAAAGGAAAAGAGGTTTATAGGAGAGGGGAACAAGGATGGAGTATAAACACCAGCACAGACTCATTTGGCTGAATGGCCCGGTTCCATGCTTTATCGTTCCATGCAACTGTTTTTGTTATGACAATTACAAGGTGTGCGGATGATGGGAAAGAAATGCAATGTATGGTCTGCCCCAGGCTTAGAAGCATCCTGTGAAGGTGAGCATAAAAGTGCAGTGCTTGTGTAAGCTGGAAATATGCTTTTAGATGGCTTGTTTTCAATACACTGTAGGTCACTTGGTTTCTTGGCACAAAGAAAAAGATTCTGTCACTGTTACATCAGTTGTACAGGGGAAATTACTGACCTTCAGTTTCTCCCTGGAGAAATGGTAAGAGAATTACCATTCCATTACAAGTATTTTGGGTCATTTTATATTAATGAACCGCCCATTTCAATGCTCTTATTTACCTCTACAACGGCCATCAATAAGTAAAAGGGCTGGATGAGCAAATGGTGCGCCTAAATGTGAAAGCAACATTATCTGTCTGGCTCCGCTTGTGTTTAACTTTTGGAGGAAAGAAGATAAACAGAGAGTAAAAGAGTAGACGTGTACAATACTGTAGATGTCACCTGTAAAAGTCCCATGAAGAAAACCAACATCGGGAGTGATGCATTCAATGAATATGGCGAGATTTGTTTCATTCTACAAATTATTTTTAAAACAGAAAAGGGACAAAAACAATGGTACACTTCAGTGATATTTTCACTGCAGAAAAGAGAGCTGTTTCCATTGCTCATTGAATGATTCACCCTGACTCATTGTCTCCCCTTTGTTTTGATGCTGGACAAGTGCATTTTCTTGTTGTTGCATTGATCCCATCTGCACAATAATCACTGTTAATGCAGCAACTGGCTCCCAAGCCAGTCCAGGGCACTCACTCCCATTGAATAGCCTCCAAGGTTCCTGCGGCACTGTGTTCAATTGAGACATTCAGAACAGACACACAGACATCTCATATTGCTTTAAAATCTTACTCCCCTAAAAACATTGCAGTACTAAAGTGCAAATTTGCAGCTTAAATATCAGTGTTGTAATGTAGCCAGACTCGAGAGAATTTCCCTTATTTATTGGTGATGAGCAACAGTTCCCTTCACATGTCCAAAGCCCATGAATAGTTTCACTCGATTGTCAAAGAACTGTTACTCACGTGCCACCTATTGGCACTTGATGGAAACTCTGTGTGTCAGCCTGGGTAAACATTTCTTACACGCATTCCCTTCTCAACAACGTTCAAAACATTACATCTGACCTGTGGTATTTCAGGGTCTTTCAACCACAAATAAATTAGCTGCACTGAAAAGATTTACTGACTATAAAATCTCTGTGTGTGTATGTGGGTGTGTGTGGGTTTATTATTCAAGATCATAGCATTCAGGCACTTTAGATAATAACAATCCTTGCATTCCCCTTATCACATTGTTGAGACGTCGCAAAGCGCTTCACAGAATTTACTGTGAAGTGTAGTGACTGTGTATTTGTAGGCAAAGGTGGCAGTCAATTTGAGCACAGCAACGTTCCAAAATAGCCTTAATCACTTTTTATCAGGAGGAATGTTGGCAAGAACACTGGGAGAAACTCCTCTTTACTGTACTGTACCACAAACTATAGGTAGGTGACAACATTGCAATGTCTTGCAAACTGCAACTCAGCTCACCCAGCTGCAATAAATTGTCAGATATCAGTTGAAACTATTTAAATCCAACAGCCTCAAAAAGCCAAGGTAGGATTATTATGTTTATATACACCAATGAATGTGCAGCCATGATAGTATATCCAGATAATGGAATTGAAGATAAAGCAAAGGCAAGCATGATTTGCCAAATTTTAATAGTTTATTCTTCACAAACAACATCTGAAAAAGCAACCCTGATTTATTTCTGTTATTTAAACGCATAATTCAAGGTCCAGTGGGGAAAACATAAACACATTTTTTACTTCATTACATTCAAGAGTAAAACGTACCACAAAGTCACCGCTGTAGAAATTACATGAAAGAAATAGCACATTGCTGGGGATGTCATTCAGGGTTCCCAGGACGAGTGTGTTTTTTGTTTTCAGCTGGATGTCTGACACATGTTGAAACTCATAACCATGCCTAAGAGTATCCAAAACTAACTGAGTTCTACTGGTGTTAAGGTGATTCCACAGGATCTGTAGTCTATTGTGGATTATACTTACTGTTCTAGTGTAATGAAGAGCCTAATTGATTTTGGACTATAGCCTACTTTGCAGTGGGATCAAAAAAATGGTATGGACAACAGGATTTTTATGTATTGAATTCCTGACGTTAATTGGATGTTTGTCATGCTGACCCACGGGAATTCTGCTCCAATAACAACTTGCATTTATATAGGGCCCTTCATGCGGGGTAACGTCCTGGAGCTCCAAGGTTACCTACTTCCGGGTGTGTCGGAGTGGAGTTTCTGTGGGTCAGTGTGATGCAAATTTGGTTTCGATGTTCACAAATCCTGTTGCTGATACCGTGTTTCTGAGCCTATTGCAGTCTAAATTGCATGACAGTCCGCTATAAAATCTATCATTTCTAATACAATTATTGAATAAGCTGCTAACTTCACAAGGAAACAAGGGAGCTTCAGGTTAAGGACCCCATTTGACCTCATCCTTTCAGAATACCCACTTTACTGTCCTCCCATCAAGCTGCTCTTTTAAAAAAAAATGTTCAACATGCTGGCCTCAACCACCCTTCCTGGTGACCTGTTCAAGTTTTTTATTTTAACCATCTAGTCAAAGAACTATTTCCTGCTGTCTGTCCTGCAAACCCTAAAACTTGTGCACTCTTGTTCTGCTGCATTGTGCATCTGTTCTGGGTTTACTTTCTCAATTCTATTTAAAATCTTCAGACCAAAGCATTAGACTTGTGGCGGAGAGATCAATGTGAGTCACAATATTGACTGTCGTTTAAACTGGAGTTTCCCCTGAAGGACAACCTTTGCATGCCAAATAAACTGGGAAAGAGAGGGAGCTGATAACATGAAGTCAAGTGACACTTCCCAAGCGTATCTCTTGTGAGAAAGTGGGGGGGGAGGGGAACAAGAAGCAAAATTGCAAGAAAGTGGAAGAAACTTAGAATCAGAATGATATTCAAAAATCTTTGATCAGACACGGACTGAACCTTTGATGTAAAAACATGCAGCATGTATTACCGCAGCTAAAATGTTATACATACATATCTTCACTATTCCTCTGCTATGTGCACAATAAGAACATGCAGATGTATAGACCTTTTACAAACAGTCAGAGAATTGGTAATGTATATCAGAGAATATGTTGCTTACCGTTATGTTACTCACACACCAAGTTGGCATCCCACTAAAAAGGAGCAGAAAAGATCAAAATTATCAACAACATAACAATAATCTTTGTATTTGATATAGTGCCTTATCGTGTCTTCTAGACATCTCAAAGAGCTTCACAAAATATATTGTAAAGTGAACTGACTATATTTTGTGGGCTAAATGCGGCAGTCAATTGTGCACAGCAGTGTCCCACAAGCTGTTGTGGATTGAGTGACCAAAGTATTATTATTTTGGGCAGAGGGATTTAAGTATCTCATCTTATTTTTTTAAAGGGATTATTAGCCCGGAAAACGATTCCGCCAATCAACTAACAACCGGGTTCATACTTAATGCTAGGTAAACAGAGACATGTGGAGTAAAGAAATATGCCTAAGGTTTCACCCTGTCAGGAATCGAACCCAAGTCCTCTGGCTTGCAAGCCGAATGATCTAACCAATATGCTACAGGATGTCACATGCATTTATATTGTACCCTTCACATGGGGTAACACCTTGGAACAAGGAGAAAGGAGAGGTAACCATAGGTCAAAGAGGAATGTCATCAGGTGCGATCTGAAAAAGGGCAAAGAGGGGGCAAGGTGGGAGGGATTGAGGCAGGGATGGTAGATTGTAGATTAAAAACTTGGGGCAGCATTAACACCTACTATTGGCAATGCTATTCAGGACAAACACCCAATACAACACAAAAACTGTTACATTCAGTATGCAATGCAATTGCACCTAGATTGGCATGAACGTAGATTACAAAATATAAAGCTACAGTATTAGTTTTGTGTACTGCATACATCAGATTTTTAGAAATATGTGTTAATAACAACAAGCTTTGGAGTCTTTTCTATGGCTTTGATATTTTGGATGCTTTTTCAAACCAAAATATTCAAAAGATATTACTTAGAATTTCATGGAACATTAACACTCACAGAAGCAGGCCATTCGACCCAACTAGTCTGTACCAGTGCTTGTACTCTTCCTGAACTTCCACCTCTCCAAATCTCCTTTCCCATACTCATATATTCCCTTCTCCCGTATTGTGGGTATCAAGTTTACTCTTATATAGGTTGATGCTTTTTATTTCAACCACAGCTTCCAGTAGCGAGTTCCACATTCTCACCACCCTCTGTATAAAGACATCCCTTCTAAACTCTCTTTTGGATCTGATCCCGGCTATCATATCCATCTATCTACCCAACCACTCACCCACCCACCCATCCATTTTAGACTCGTAAATTTTAAGAGCAAAGGATCTTACATGATAAGAGCAGGTAGAATTCTAGGACCTCATGAGAAACATAATTTACCTTTTGTGCAGTGGGAGCTCTGAAACCTGCAATTCATTAATATGGACCGAATTACTTTTCCTAGTCCAGCTGGTCAATAATTTTGCGCTGATGGAGTTCATTTTGACGTGGGCATCATACGATATGACCTGTTTAATCATATTTGTGTGTGGTTGTGTCCTTCCAGAAGGTCTGCAAATAAAACTTAAAGTAGTAAAACGAAAATTGGAAAAAGATATTCAGAGCGATCTGCCTTCATGATATTTCACCTTGATTCAGACAACATAATAATAGTAATAATCTTTGCATTTGGTAAAAGTGCCTCTAACACCAGGGGGCCATCTGAAAGCGCTTCTCCAAGATTTTACTGTAAAGTGGAACAGGAATGCCCTACTAACAGCCATGAAGTGAATGGCCAAATTTATTTGGGGGTTTGTTGGTCAAGAATAGTGCCAAAGAATCTTTAATGTCCACTTGAGTTGGCAGATGTTCCACCTGGACATTTGTTTAACATCGCATCCGAAGAACAGCACCTCTGACAATGCAGCATTCCCCCAGCACTGAACTGGGGAGTCAGACTAAACTGTGATTTCAAAATCTCAACGTAGGGACTTAATGTGACAAACCTCTGACTCTGAGGCGAGAGTGCTGCCAACTGTGTCAGCTGGCACCAAACATAAGAAGAAAGTTCTTGAGAAAGAGTTAGTACGTCAAGTCTGATTAAGTACAATGACAAAACTGATGCTGTAGCTTGTCATTTATATCCTAGTTTTCACTTTTAACCTGAACAGACTCATTTTTTAAAATTCTACAACCTTTTAATATCAAAGTTCGATTTTTTTGGCCTTATCTAGTCCCACATCCATATTCAAAGAACATTTAGGTCCATTGGGCTGGTCCTAAGTTTTAAAAAAACTCCGCTAAAAAAATATTGTTTTATACTCAGATCCCTCAAGGACTATTTGTTTGGCAAATACTGTATCTATCACAAGCGACTGATAAGTCTGGGGATTGACGAGTGTTGATCTGGCTTGAGCAAGATCTGTTAAGCCAAATGTAACGGCTACGACAAAACAAGAATTCACGTTTCAGTAATAAACAAAATACAATTCAATGAGTGAACATGAACGACGTCTCTCTGCACATCAAATTGAATCATGCCTGAAATACTGAAATCTGACTGGTGGAAGCATCACCGAATGCATGTAAGTGCTTCATGATATCAAGGCCCAGGGTACAAGATGGAGATTTGCCACAGTGAGACTTTGTGCTGATGTGTCTGTGAAGGATACCCTTGGGTCCAATGCCAGCTTAAGCAGTTTTGGGCATAGCTTTGAATCCTTATGCATGATTGCCTTCAGCACAACCTGCTGTGTCCTGTAAACATTACATTACAGAGAACAGCCAAGCGATTTTTATTAAAATCAAATGGAATTTTATGACAGCTGCATAGGTTTGTCAGACAGAAATACAGAATTAGGCCCTGACCCTCACCTTAGTTTAGGACGATGCTTGAATCCTTTCATTGTGGTAGAAGATACTCTCAGCCTTGTTACTGGATGTTATAATAATCCTTGCATTTGATATAGCACCTTATCAAATCTCTGAACACCTCAAAGTGCTTCATGGGATGTATTGTAAAGTGAGGTGACTGTGTATTTTTTAGGGGAAGTCATCAGATAATTTGTGCATAGCAATGTCCCACAAGCAGCCATGAAATGAATGATCAATTTTATCTGGGGGTTTACTGGCCTTGACACTGGGAGAATCTACCTTCTCTTTATGGGTAGATGGGACCTAGGTTTAACTCTTCATCCAAAAGACAAAATCGCTGACAATGCAGGGCATAATGGCTTGAACCCACAGACTGCTGACTTAGAAGGCGACAGAGCAACCAACTAAGCCAGACTTAGAACATCATCTTTCCCTGTACCTCCCAGCACGTAGCATCAGTCTCACTAACAAAACAAACTGGCATTTTGTTAACATCGATCAAAGTACTTACATAGAAAGCTGTAGATTTGAAATGACAGTGCCGTAGCTGTCTTTAAATTTTACTTCAATCTTCTGTTTGTTCGTCCCCAACTCTTTCAGAAATACTTTCACCAGAAAATGTTTCACTGGTTGGAGAAAGAGCAATGAAAATAACTCCAACTGAAAAGTTTTTAAACATGTAATGCAGAGATAGCTGGGGAATATCCTGTTCACAACTTTGTGAACTATATGCTCCCCCTCGGTGACATCATCCGCAGACATGGAGTTAACTTCCACATGTATGCGGATGACACCCAACTCTACCTTTCCTCCTCTACTCTCAACTCCACGACCACCGATGTCCTGACAGCCTGCCTGTCCGACATCGAGTCCTGGACGAGAGACAACTTTCTTCAGCTCAACGTGCGAAAAACCGAGGCCCTCCTGATTGGCTCACGTCAGCGCCTCCGCACCTCAGGCGCTGACACCATCAGCATCCAAGGCTGCACTCTCCACCTCTCAAAGCCAGTCAGGAACCTCGGCGTTTTGTTCGACCCTGAGCTGTCCTTTCTCCCTCACATCCGCACCACAACTGGCACCGCCTTCCATCACCTCCGGAACATCGCCAGACTACGGCACTACCTCACCCCTCACGCTGCTGAAACCCTGGTCCACGCCTTTGTCACCTCAAGGCTGGACTACGGGAACTCTCTCCTCACCGGCCTTCCCGCCACCTCCCTCCACAAGCTGCAGGTCATTCAGAACTCTGCAGCTCGTGTACTGTCCCGCACCAGGCTTCGGGACCACATCACTCCCACCCTCGCTCGCCTCCACTGGCTCCCCATCCCCCAGAGGATTGATTTCAAGATCCTCATCTACAAGGCCATTCACGGCCTTGCTCCCTCCTACCTCTCCAACCTACTATCCCCCTACCTACCTGCCCGTACCCTCCGTTCCTCCGGCTCCGGTCTGCTCCACGTCCCCCGCCCCAACCGCCCTACCATCGGTGGTCGGGCCTTCAGCCTCTCAGCCCCGAGGCTCTGGAACTCCATCCCCTAGTGCCTTTGCCTTGCTTCCTCCCTTTCCTCCTTCAAGGCCGGTCTCAAAACCTTTCTCTTTGACCGTGCCTTCAGCTCCCCACTCGACTCTCTTCCCCTCCTCGCTCCCTCCCTTCCCTCCCCTCACCCTGACCATTTCCCCCCTCCTCGCTCCCTCCCTTCCCTCCCCCTGACCATTTCCCCCCTCCTCGCTCCCTCCCTTCCCTCCCCTCACCCTGACCATTTCCCCCCTGCTCGCTCCCTTCCTTCCCTCCCCTCACCCTGACCATTTCCCCCTGCTCGGGTCATGACCCAACTGTGCAGCGCCTTGGGACGTCCTCCTGACGTGAAAGGCGCTTTATAAATGGAATCTTGTTGTTGTTGTTGTTCTTTGTCTTAAAATTGAAGATGGTACAAACTTGTGGAAAATTCTTACATTCAGTCTTAGTCTTAGTTTGGAAGATGTTTTTTTGCCAAAAGGACTGGATTGCAAATGAGGACTGAATTCAAGAATTTTCCACAATTCTGCGTGATTTTTAAATTGTAGACAAAATGGTTTTACAAGCTTAGACTGGGTTGAATTTTGGGCCCATCACCTATACCACCATATATGAATGCATACAGGGGACAGAGGACCAGAATTTGCTAATACTGTACTGAAGCAACTTGATCCATTATTATCCAATAATAATATACTTTAATTTCTTACAGTGCCTTTTACTATGGGAGGATGTCTCAAAGCACTTCACAGGAATTACTCTAAAATGTAGTCACTGTGTATTTTATGGGCCCAACGGAGCAATTTGCACACAGCAATATGTCTCACAAAGAGCCATAAAGTGAATGATCAATTCTATCTGGGGGGCTGTTCATCAGAACACAAGGAGAAGCTCCATTCTCTCTCCCTTCCACCTGAAATGGGACCTTGATTTGTTGTCTCATTTGAAACACGGCACCTCTAACAATGCAACACTCCCCCACCCCCACATTGTATTCATTGTATGTCAACCTAGACTGCTTGAAGTCCTGACGTGGGGCTTGACCCTTAAACTTTTGACTCAGAAATGAGAGTGCTACCAACTCAGCCAGCCTGACACCTGCATAAAGAAATACAGGAAAGGATCAGGATTGGAATATATAGCTCAAATGCGGAGTTAGCACTAACCCAGTCTCCATGGGCTGAATGGCCTCATTCTGTACTACAATTTCTGATTTCATAGTGTATGATAGAGTTGCTCAGTGGAAACTCCTTTGATGGAAATTTATAACTGCAACTGCCTGTGTTTAGCTGATGTCTTTGAACAGGTGAAAACAAAAGGAAAGTGCAGAAACAAATGGACTTCCAAACTAAATTTTATTTTTAAAAAAGCTGGTATCAGTATTGTCCAGTGGTAAACCCTCTGAGCTAGCTAACAGATATACTTGAATGCAACTCCGCTGTCGTGACATGTATTGAAAGCTGAATACTGTGAATAATGCTTTCAGCCTTCATTCACCATTCTCATTCTCATTTTGTCAAGATAAAATGCAACGACTACAACCATCCAATGTGCCTGAGATTTGGGTATCATTTCTTTTGATGTTACTGCAATTGGGCCATTTGCGAATCTGTCCTGAGGGTGCAATAAAAGTTGTGGAAGTCACCAGTCATGGTGCATTATAGCTGTCCTTTCATAGGGTAAAAAAGTACAAATCAATAAGTCACCAGCGCAACCAATGTGTCTGAGTTACGGATGGAGTAACAAATTACTGGGATTGGTGCTAGAATGTTGCAGCACAATCAAGGGTTCGAACAGGGTCAATTGCCGCAAGAGCAAAGCTTTTGTTTTAAGCATATGCTTGCATTTGAAGCAATTATTACCTATTAAAATGGCCACTTCATCCAAAATACTAAAGCCCATATTCTGAAGATGTCTTCAGGTGCGAACTGAAATGGACCTACCGCAGAAAGGAGATGCTTTTGACGTCATCATGTATACTTTCGCTTCCTTCGGATAAACATCTTCTCTGATGCCCCCTCGCTCCATCAGTCCTAGGAAATATTGTGGTGGAAGTGTATTGATATTATTTCATGCAGGTTTTTCCTTTCAGTCATCATTGGGCTTAAACTTAATGGGTGCAGTCACAGCAGTTTACAAGACAGAGATCCGATAATATATAGTGCCTCTGGCTTCTGGGTGCAACCACTGAGAGCAGTGTTGGGAAGAGGCGGTGGAAGGGGGAGGTGGGGGAGTGTAAATGTGCTGACTAGTACCATGTGTGATGTGAAGGTCAGGATAAGTCATGACACCACACTGAAGTACTGCACTCTGCACAACAGTAGCACTGTGCTTCACAGTCAGAACATGGATGGCTGGCGATGGTAAGAATATTTGGCCAGTCTTGGACCCAGTGATTGTGCTGTTGATAGGTGGAAGTGGGTGGGTGGGAAGTGGGGCAATCAGCAGTGATAACCATCAACTGCTTTTGACCATGGCTGGTAATAGGTATCACATCACGTGTTGCATTGTCCCTCCTATAGATGTTATTTAACACTTCGAGGTTTGCAGTTTGCCCCACATCCCTACGTTCTTTTGTTCTCATCTGCTTTTTGATGGGTCATTAAATTTAATGGGTGACAAAGAGGGTTTCCTTTTAATGGTTAAGGCCAGAATACTGGGGCTCATTTAACGAAACAGTTTGATTCTGTGATGGAAAGAAGGGTGCTCTGGAAGGAGGAGATCAAATGGGGCCAAAGGGCTTTCTTCATCAAAACCAATCTTGTGAAATTGTGATGACCCTTTCCCTTTAGTTTGCTTGGAAATCTACAGGACACAATGGATGCAACTTTGCTGCGCTTATATTTAAAAACAATGCAATATTGTTCCTTATATTTAAATTTGAGGCTTAGTATTTCAGCAAACAAATAAAACGTGGGTAGCATCAGTGCTACTTTTGTACCTATTTGCGGGCAGCGCAGCAGGAAATGGGAAAAGCAGTCCACACACTGTCCGTTGACAAAGTCCTCATAGGATTGACAAGGGAAAGCCACCAGAGGACAGGGGTTCTTGATTGAATTGATGTACAGATGAACAGCTCTTATGTGATCACAGATCACACGTTTATACACTGGAGGAAAAAAAGAGACAGACAGTTACTGTAATTCTAAACTGTGACGATGCAGAAGAGAATTTGCTACCATCTGGCCATCCACTTTCCTACCTTCCTCATTGCTGTGCCGATTTACCTGATCAACTCACAGCACTTCAAAAGACTTCCCCAATAGTTGTAAATTCTGTACTAGGTCAATCCCTTTACAGAAATATGCTGGAATTCCTATGGATTCTATCCACCAGGAGAGTTTTGGTAGATACAGGAGTGGAAATGTGACATTTCACACAACAGATTATCACACTGAATCTGTTTGAAGAGTTCAATTTTTTCATGTGGATGTCCACAAAGTCATGTTACCCATGGTTTATTTTCTGCAGTGCACTGACCAACAACTGAAGCATGCAGAGGGATGATGATAATTGTATTTTGAAGTATTTAATTGTATTCCGTTCAAGTGTTTAACTGTATTTAGATGTCCGAACATCCAGAGGATCTTGTAAGCGCCATCATTTTCATGGCAGAAAATGATCCATCGCTATGATCGGTGTGACATCATCGGTAATGTATCTCTGACAGCTTGTTTCAGCTCTTCCATAGTCTCGTTTTTTTAACAGCCAGTGAAGATGACTTTGTGGTCACCCTATAGATTGTTTTCATCCAGTGTATAATGTAATTGGGGAAGAATTTGAAGCACTTCCTAAGTACATAGAAACAGGAGAAGATCATAAAGCCCATTGAGCCGATTCCACCGTTTATTAGATTCATGACTTAATCCGATTTCTGTGCCCTTTCAACATCTCCTGACACCCTGGCCCATCAAATACTCACCCAACTCCCTCTTAACTATTTCAATTGACCAGGCATCTACAACCTTTTAGGGGTAAGTGAGTTGCACATTTCTGCAACCCTTTGTGTGAAAAACTATTTTTTTCTAATTTCCCTCTCGTCTGGTATAGCTGTAATTTGAATGTGTTTTAATGATAATAACAATCCTTCCATTTGATATAGCGCCTTATCACGTCTTCGAGACGTCTCAAAGCGCTTGACGGGATACACTGTAAAGTGAATTGACTGTATATTTTTGTGGGCGAAACGCGGCAGCCAATTTAACGTTCAATATCAATCCTCGGTCTCACGTCTCTCTCTCTCTCTCTCTCTCTGTCACCCAAACATTATAAAGTATTTTCCTCGGCCAGGCCGATTGCGAATTGCTGCCATTCCTAAGCAGGTTCAGCCCAGAAAATAACTCTTAGTCCAAAAAAAAGACTAACCACACTCTCTGAGGCCAAAGAACAAAGAAAATGGCAGCATAAAGGATAATTGTCAATGTCAAAGATGGCGGACTAGGTATTTGGAAGAGGGGCGCTGCCATCTAGTGTCCAGTTAGTGTATTACACCAGCTTTGGTTTGAATCTCGCAACGTCAGGTTAACAGCCGGTGGGGACCTCAGTGTAACATCTCGTCCGAAGGATGGCACCGCTGACGATGCAGTACTCCCTCGGCACTCAGGTGTCAGCCCTCACTCCGTGGGTTCAAAGGCCATAGGACCCACCCGTTGCAGGGCTTGCCGATATCAATTTAGTGCCAGCGTTAACTAAGGAATACCACAAATTTTGCTCCTCTGCAATTTAGACCTTAATATCATGCAATATTACCTGAGAATAAGCTTCTGTACTGACAACATCCAGGTTGGTCTTTTCCACCATTAACGTAGAAATCAACATGTCCAACTGGTCGAGAAATCCCAAAGCCTGTAAGCAATCAAAACGGATGCAATCCCTGTTAGTAGAGGCTACCACAATAAAGCTAGGACATACACATGTGAGATATCTATCAGGAGAATCCAGGCTGGCACTCTTAACACAGTACTGCCACTGTTGGAGGTGCATCCTTCAGATGAGACATAGGTAGTTTGGGACATATGTACATGTGACCGCCAGGAAGGTGGAACGCGAACTAGATGGACCTTAGTCTTTTTTCACCAAACATTTCTAATGTTTTTATGTGAATAACATTGGTCATTCAACTCATGGCTATTTGCGGGGCATTGCTGTTGGCAAATTAGCTGTTGTTTTCATCTACAAAAGTCATCACATTTTTACAGTAAATCATATGAAGTGGTTTGAGACGTCCTCCTGATGTGAAAGGAATTTTATCGAATGCAAGGATTATTATTAGTAGTAGTAGTAGAAGGAATAAAATGCCCTTCTGGCTCCACCCTCTCTGTCGGTCTTCAAATCCCACTTAAAACTCATCTCTTTGTCTGTGCCAATTTTTCACCTTCTCCTTCCCCTTCTTGCTTCTCCCTTGCTCATCATCCGACCTCTTGTTATAAAGCTTTATGCGAGGTGAAGGGAGTTGTATACATGCAAGTTGTTGTTATTGTGGTCATTCAAAGCGCTTTGAGAAGTCTCGAAGACGTGATAAGGTACTATATCAAATATCAAATCAAATAATATTATTATTATTACTGAAATCAAATCTCACAATCGTGTGTTTAGGAATGGCAGGCACTCATGTAATTTCAATTGGTCTTTTAAAAATATCATTAAAGAGATATTTGTGAAATGCTGGGTAAACCCATATTATTGCAATTAAAGTAACTTGATTTTGGCCAGAGTTTTGAATTTTTTTATTGGGCTGTACAGTAGACCTGTTACCAGATTTCAAGACACTTTCAGTTCTATAGCACCTTATTGAGTCAAAACATTTGAAAATACTTTACAGTAATTATTGTCACCTCAATGACTGTTTTCTGACTAAAATCAGTCATTTTGTGCACAGCAAGATTCCACAAACGGCCAGTAAGTACAAGACCAACTCATCTCAGTGGGAGGTAAACGGGATCTTCTTGTAGCTGAAACAAAAACAGAAGTCGCTGGGATCTCTCAGCAGGTCAGGCAGCATCTGTGGAGAAAGAGTCAACGTTTCGGGTCCACGACCCTTCGCCAGTTCTGACCAAACAAAAATAGAAGGTTGCAGCCCAATAATAATAATAATAATCCTTGAATTTGAAATAGCGCCTTATCACGTCTTCAAGATGTCTCAAAGCACTTCATAGAAAAAAAATACACCAGGAAAAGCTCTCTTATTTTGAATAGTTCTATGAGATCTTTACCATCTACCTGAAGTACAGGCAAGGACCTCGGTTTAATGTTTCATCTGATGGATGACACCGATGACAACGTAACACTCCTTCCCCCCCTGCCCATATCTTTTCTTTTGTGAGCCGGATGTCTGACACATTGGAATACCATCACCATGCTTAAGAGTACCCAAACCAAACTGAGAAATCCATTCATTCCCCTTGTATTTCACTCGAGTATCAGCCTGTCCTAGATTCTGATTTCAAATCCTGGGCTGTGGGGATCAAACCAAAGCGAGAGTGCCACCAACTAAGCCAAGTTAACATGATGGCAAACATTGGGCAACCCAATTTATACAGGAGTAAGTATTATGCAATATGAACTTTCTTTTAAATTGTAGGTGGTTTGCTGGCTGAGATGTTCTTGCCTAGTGAGATCAGAATAGTATTTGTTGAGGCTTCCCTGCTATGCAGGATGAAGCAATATTGGTGACAGAGTTCGCCAGCAGCTCTCATGGGATTCCAGGAAACAACAACAACAAAATTACATTTGTATCGCACCTTTCACATTCGGAGGACATCCTAAGGCTCTAGACAGACAGAGTTTTGGACCCGAGCTGAGGGTCAGCGGTCGGGGAGGGTGGAACCCCTGCTTCCACCCAGAGATCGAAAGCACGGTTGAAGAGGAGGTTCTTGAGATGGGTCTTGAAGGAGGCAAGGGAGGGGGCGAGGTGGAGGGACTGTGGGATGGAGTTCCAAAGGGTGGGGGCAGAGTGGCAGAAGGCCCGACCGCCAATAGTGGGGGAAGCGAGGAAGGGACGTGAATTAGGCTGGAGCCTGCTCAGCGGAGGGAGCAAGCAGGATGTTAGGGTGTTAGGAGGTCACAGAGGTAGGGGGCAGCAAGATCATGGATGGCTTTGAAGGTGAGGACCAGGATCTTCTGTGTGATGGTAAGCAAGTGGAGTCGGGCAAGGATAATAACAATAATAATAATCCTTGCATTTGATATAGCGCTTTTCAAGTCGGGAGGACGTCCCAAAGCGCTTCACAGAACACACTGTAAAGTGAATTGACTGTATATTTGTGGGCGAACGCGGCAGCCAATTGCGCTCAGCAGTGTCCAACAAACAGTCGTAGATTAAAAATGACCAATTTTTATTATTGTTTTTTGGTTTTTGGAGGGATTATTATTAGGCGTGTGGAGTAAGGAAACTTGCCCAAGGTTTCGCCCTGCCTGGAATTGAATTCAGGTTCTCGCTTGAAAAGCGAGTACTCTAACCACTGAGCTACAGGACTCCACTGTATGGGGGTGATGGGGTCACGGAGCCTGGTGCGGGAGAGAACACAGACTGCGGAGTTCTGGATGATCTGCAGCCTGTGGAGGGAGGAGTTGGGGAGGTCGACAAGCAGTGAGCTTGCATAGTCGAGCCTCGATGTAATGAAAGCATGTATGAGGGTTTCGGCGGTCTGCGGTGTGAGACTGAGGCGGAGCCGGACGACATTGTGGAGGTGGGGGAAGGCAGAGCGGATCACAGCGCAGATGTGGGATACAAAGATAGTTGAGGGTGAAACAAGACCCCAAGGTTTCGGACTGGCTCAGTGAGGTGGAGTGTGCAACCATGGATGGTGATGCTGTCAGCGCCTGAGTTGAAGAGGCGCTGATGGGAGCCAATCAGGAGAGCCTCGGTCTTGTTGACATTCAACTGAAGAAAAATAACTCTCATCCAGGACTTGATGTCCGACAGACATTCTGTCAGGACAGCAGTGGTCCTGGAGTCAAGGGTGAAGGCAGAGAGGTAGAGTTGGGTGTCATCCGAACGTCCGCGTATGATGACACCAAGAGGGAGCATGTAGATATTGAAGAGGAGGGGACCAAGGACAGAGCCCTGAGGAACGCCGCAAGAGACGGTGTGGAGACTAGAGGAGAAACCGTTTGTGGAGATGAAGTGGAGGCGGTGTGAGAGGTATGATCTGAACCAGTCATGGACAGAGCCGTGAAGGTTGAGGTGGGAGGAGAAACGGTGGATGAGGATAGAGTGGTCGACAGTGTCGAAGGCAGCAGAAAGGTCAAGGAGGACGAGAAAGCAGAGGGAAACCTATTGCAGTAACAATTTGTCTCGCCAGCAGTTTCTCTGTAATATATCATGGAAATGAAAGGAAAAACATTGACTAAATTCACTCTCTGTCTTTCTGTCTCTCACGAGTTTTGTTACGATGTGTAAAGCGAGCCAGTTTCTTAAAACAAGTGAGAGCAGTGGCGGGAATATATAGCGGAGACAAATGCAATATTTCCTTACCGATTTGATTCGATGTGCATTTTTCACCCCTGTATTCGTTCACCCATGTATTCTTTGAAAGTAAAATCTTGTATTTTATATTTTGACTGAGATTTTTCAACTCTCCTCACACACACACCTATCAGCTGTGATCAGTGGCCTTGTTGATCTAAGATTCTCATGCTGACAAACTGCTTTGAGCACCTGTTCTAAGTGCCACTGGTTTGTCACAGGGTGGCTGCTTGGGAGGTACAGATACCAAAGTAGTTTTCTAACAGGAACTGGGTGACACAGAACACTGTAGACCACTGATCTGAAGCGCTGTCGAGACAGGGTTCGAATCCAACCTGGAAGCAATATCTTTCTGAGAAACGTTAAAGATCAAATAAGATATGAATTCTGAATAAGATACGAATTTACAGTAAATGGATGTCCGCAATCACACACTGAAGCTTTAGAAGCACTGCAACAAAATCCTGACTTGTGAAATTCAAGGTCCGAAATTGTACCTTGTGTTGTAAGTTGGTTAAAATGGCATAAAAGAAATGGTTATGAAGCTTCTTCTCCAATCAAGCATCTTAGCGTGTAACCAACATATTCGAGCCTTGCACATCCTTGTACCCATATCTTCTAGATAAGCAGACCCTTTTGAGACAAAGCAGCTTGCTCATTATTCTTCTTCAACACAGGACATCTTGCTTCTCCCTTCCAAGGCTGGAGTCTGTCTCTGTCTGGTAGAAACATTTATAAAAACCGCGGTCCAACTTAAGTAAGTTAGTTAACTCCAGAGCATCGCTGAGTGGTTGCAGAGAACAATAAAGATTGAATGCTTGGACAAAGAAGATAGAAGACTGAGAGTTAGGAAAATCGCAAGGCTTGATCGCTTGAAGAACTAAAGTTTGCTTGCTGTAAAGACAAAGTGCTGAACCTGCGAGTTTCGGTAGTATTGCTCTGTTTGATTAAGATAGACGTGACTTTTTTTTATATACACGTATGCATAATTAAAGGTTTGTTTTGATTAAAGCATCCTGAGACTCTGACCTGTTGGTATTACCGAATCCGAACCTGTTTTGAATGGTTGCAAACCTCTCAAGACCATTTTCAGTGGAGACCAGTGTTTTGCTCAAGGGACTGACCCAAGTAGTACATTATGAGATGTGTGTCTACACCCACGATTCTACATATCATGAGCTGCCAGTAAAGGCCACAGACAGCTTGTGCTGTGTGTGCGTTTTGGGGGTGAATCTATAGCACTGATAATTAAATTGAAGCTACAGATCCTTATAATTTCAATAAAATACATTCACTGGGTTCTGGGATAAATTCTCCCTACCGAACAATATCCCGTTGCTTTTTCTCTTTGGAAAAGAGAGACAGAGGGAATAGCATAAGGCTCTATCAACATCACGTCCCGAGCATGGACAAGCTATGAAACACATGGGTGAGGAGGTCTGATAAGTGCCATCAGCTAAGGGGGAGTCTTTTTCACCACAAGTGATTCTTGAAGGTATTAGCAGCGTCTCTATTCTGTACAACACTGAGTGGGGATTGGGAACTGTAACGGTGTTGCACTTACTATCAGAGTCAGTGTGAATGGCTTCAACAAAGAGTGCGTCGTCCGGGTCCAGACGTTGATCAAGACTTGCCTTCGAAAACTTGGGGCCGGCGGGATCTAAACCTTAAAAAGAAAGTGATGCAGAGATGAGTGGTCATGCAGCAATAAGAGTCCATGTATTTGATATAGTGCTCTACATGTCGGGAGGATGTGCTTCACAGGATACACTGTAAAGTGTGCTGACTGTGCACAACAACAACAACAAGCATTTCCTCAACCACGCAAGCAGGGAGGTTGAGTGGGTCCTTGTAGATAAACACTACGGCAGGTAATTACTGTAACATGTAGTGAATTTGTGTCAAACACAGCAGCTAATTTGCACACAGCAGGTCTCATAAACAGCCATCAAGTGAATGACCAATTAATTTGGAGGATTTGGCCTGGAGTCAGGGAGAACAGGGGTATGGGGAAAAGAGCGGGTAAATGCAACTAAAAGGACTGCTCTTTAAAAGAATCAGCGCAGACATGATAGGCTGAATGGCCTTCTTCAATTCTGTGAATTTCTCTAGTATTGTGGGATAAACTGAATAACCCATTTGCATCTGCTTTACAATTACCTGTTATGCGTCCCAGTGTACCATTGAATATGCGTCCCACAAATCCTGCCACATGTGCTCCCAGACTCACTCCAATGAGATGGAAAGATTCCTCACTGCTTCCCTGAATCTGGAATGCAGATGTGATGGTTAATTCATGCTAACTCGGGAAGACAAACGATTGAACCAGGGATCCACACAACTGTAAGATCTTGCTTCACCAGGCTTCGCGACCACATCACTCCCACCCTCGCTCACCTCCACTGGCTCCCCATCCCCCAGAGGATCGAATTCAAGATCCTTATCCTCACCTACAAGGCCATTCATGGCCTTGCACCCTCCTACCTCTCCGACCTACTATCCCCCTACTTACCTGCCCGTACCCTCCGTTCCTCTGGCTCCGGTCTGCTCCACATCCCCCGCCCTAACCGCCCTACCATCGGTGGCCGGGCCTTCAGCCTCTCAGCCCCTAGGCTCTGGAACTCCATCCCCCAGTGCCTTCACCGCCTCCTCCCTTTCCTCCTTCAAGGCCGGTCTCAAGACCTTTCTCTTCAACCATGCCTTCAGCTCCCCTCTCGACTCTCTACCCCCTCTTCGCTCCCTCCCTCCCCTCACCCTGACCATTTCTCCCCTGCTCGGGTCCCGACCCAACTGTCCAGCGCCTTGGGACATCCTCCCGACGTGAAAGGCGCTCTATAAATGCAATCTTGTTGTTGTTGTTGCATTGCTGTTTGCCTTGGACATTCCATTTTCAGTAACCAGATTTCTGCACATACTTACAATGAGGTGTCTCATAAGGTTGGAAATGCTCAGTCCCAGCTCAGCGACATTCTGCACCACAATGGGGTAAAAAGCAGTCGCCCCATAAACCCAGTCGACAATAATCACGTTCACATCCATGGCAGTGATCAGCTGTTTCGCCAGGAGTCCACCCAGGAGGGCTTCTTCCCCAACGCCCTCAGAGAAAATAACAACAAGATTAGGAAAAAGAGCAACAGACTCATAATAATAATAATTCTTGCATCTGATATAGCGTTGTATCACGTCTTCGAGACGTCTCAAAACGCTTCACAGAATATAATGTGAAGTGAATTTGACAGTACATTTTGTGGGCGAAATGGGGCAGGCAATTGCGCACAGAGGTGTCCCACAAACAGTCGTGGGTTGAAGTGACCAATTTATAATATATATATTTTTTGAAGGAATTATTAACCCCAGAAAAATAATCTGCCAATCGACTAACAACTGCATTCCTACTTACTGCTAGCTAAACAGAGACATGTGGAGTAAGGAAACTTGCCCAACATTTCACCCTGTTGGGAATTGAACCCAGGGCTCTAACTATTGAGCTACAGGACTCCAGTGTTCTTCAGATCACACCTGAAGACCTTCCTCTTTGATTGTGCTTACAGTCACCTCACCTCTCTCCCTGGCTCAGCATCAAGATCCACCACTGCTAAACACTCTGAGACTCTACCCCATGTGAAGGGCACCGTATAAATGCAAGTTATTGTTGCTCTAACACATCCTTTAATGATACAGAATTAACTTAAGGTGAAATGCTCCTCTGTTTGGCAGTGAATTTACCAATATTAGAGGCTTGAAAAGGTGTGGGGATAGGGGAGGGCAGTGGAATTGAAAGAACAGCTTACTCTGAGAGCCAGTGCAGACTCAATGGGCTGAATGGAAGGGAAGGGACTGCCATTTCAAGCAATCCAACACAGTGAATCCTCAGCAGATGGGTGACTCAAACAGACAATATCAAGTTTTTCCACTGACCCAGGCTGGAATCATAACTTCCCTCTTGCATTCTGTCTAAAAATGTCAAACTAAAGTGATCAAGTCCTGAAACTAAAAGTTGCAAAGTCAGAGTAAAGTACTCCCAAACCTCAGCAGGTTCCCAGATGTACATACCAGCTGCAATTCACAAACTGCTGCACTGCTTTGCTGAAATTCTGCAGCTTCTGTAGCACTGAGCACTTGAATGAACTTTGACGGATTTTTTTGTGACCAATTATTGGAGAAATGAGAAAAAATTACATTCAGTAAAAGCTCGGCCACTGGCGACCGTTTTGAGTGAAATTTCTCCTCTGTGAAGTAGGGTTTGCATACACTGATCATCGAATACAGTAATCTCTTTAGGTTTATAAAGGAATTTCCTATAGTAAAGAGATGGTGAAAAGATCTCTATATTTAGCAACTTAAAAAACTGCACACTGCAGGAACACATTAATAGATCCACATTTGATGGACTGCAATAATGATGTTTACCATTGAATGTTGCCATTAATTTAAAGAACACAACAGTAAATATAACCGTCCTTCAGATGAGATGTTAAACCGAAGTATCATCTGCCTGTTCAAGTGAACTTTAAAGATCCCATGGCACTATCGAAAAGAGAAGAGAGTTTCTCACGGTGCCCTGGCCAACAATCCTACAAACTGATCACTCACTGCATGGCTATTTGTGGGACATTGCTGTGCGCAACTGGCTGCCGAATTTCACCACAAAATTTTCAGTCAAACCACTTTACAGTATAACTTGTGATGCACGCTGAGACGTCTCGATGATGTGATCAGGTGTTATATCAAGTGCAAGGATTATTTATTATTATTGTATTTGCAGAAATAAACGTGTGTTAATTCAGAGGAGGGCACTGAGCAGCGCCCAGGCATTTTTACACAGAGCAGGTTAAACCGAAGGAGCCATTCCTCTGCCCATGATAACAATTGGCCCCAACAAAACCCTGCATTTATTTAAAGCTTTTAACAAATGGCAGTGTCTCGGAGTGCTTAAAAGTGTCGGAGCCTGACTCCGAGCTGGGGGAGGGGACAGGTGACCGTATGCAAGCTTGAAGTGGAAGGTCTTCAGGCATGATCTGAAAATAGGGAAAGAGGAAGCAAGACAGAATGATTCAGGGAGAGAGTTCTGAAGCTTTGGGGCTTGGTGGCTGAAGGAACACAGCAGAAGAAAGTGGAGAAAACAAAAGAAAACTTAAAATTGCACAGCCAAGTACTCAGAACATTTTCCCTGCGTACTTTTGTTAAAAAGAAAAAAAAACATTGTAATTTTGCGACACTATCCCAAGAACTTGAGTGTTCTCAGCTCACCTTGTCAGATAACGCTTAACAAATTGGGCTATTGAAAGATCATGCTGGCTCCCATTACCTGAATCCATGCAGGATGATTTTGGTGGGCAGACTCCCACTGAAGTGTGAATCTTCTAGGCCATTGCCGCTGACGTTGATAATCTGGGCACAGTCTGGGTTGGCGCGGGTGAGCAGCAAATATCTGATCTTGAGGTTTGTCCTTTGTAGAATGCTTCTCCATGATGTAAATTGAAAGTCAGAGCAGTTTTGTAGAGGGTCAGGCCCATCTCCTTCCACTGAAAAGTAGACAGAATCTTTCCTGATACAGTATTATTCTTTCATTTCATTGTTTGTTTGCAAAAACTCACTGCTGGAATGCAGCTAACAGTGCCTACATAAATTACATGCTTTGCAGTTCCGATTGGGACAAGTAAAAAGGATTTTTCTGACAGTAGTCAAACCCAATTTCACTGATTTCAAAATTAAATGCACTTAAATCAATTTTGTTCTGTATCATCATATTACTATATGGGGCTAATGGTGAAAACAAAGGCAAATAAACTGGCTGGTAAAAGAGCATCAGAATTGTGAAGTCAGTTTTCAGAACACAACCTGACGGCATGTAATGCAATGATTGTACAACATTCACAGCCCCGTGGCACCGCATACCTAAACACGGTTTATGCTGCTCGCAACGAAACCATAGAATATTTATTTGGACCAATTTGGGCACCTAAAGCGTCGTTGCCAACATTACCTTATAAAAGAGTGTGATAAATTACCTGCGAGGAGGCAGGAGAAAAGCAACAATGAAGCCAGCAGTCTGCTCCAGGGTGCAGCCATTGTTCAGGTAAAAACTGTTCTTCTTCCAAATCAGCTCTTTCAAAATCTCCCCAAAACAAAGTCACGTTTCCTGAAAATCCCCTGATCAGTCAGCAGTTAATGATTAATAATACTGACCTCATTCTCATTTTCAATGCCACCTTATCTTTGATGTAAACATGTTACCGGCAACTGATTCAACACTTTGCCTTTGTTGCTTCAGGCTCCTGTTACAGAGGACTGAGATCTGTATGTACTGAACCAAAGTTTAGCAGTAATCTGAATTTGTTATGAGGCACCCACGATGCACGTAGAGCTGTGTGATTCATCGCTTGAATTAACAATTAAAGAGCGTGTATCAATGTGTGTATCAACCTGGCTCAGAGGTAGGACTCTCACCTCAGAGTCAGAAGATTGGGGGTTCAAGCTCCACATCAGGACTTGAACTCACATAGTCTATGCTGCAACGTAGTGCTGGGGTTGTCGGGGGGGGGGGGGTACATTTTCAGATGTGCCGTCCTTCGGATGAGACGTTAAAACCAAAGTCCTATTTGCCTGTCCGGGTGGATGTTAACTATCTCATGGCACTATTTGAAAAGAGAAGGGAATCCTGGCCAACATCCCCCAAATTAAATTGAACATTCATTTTATGGTTGTTTGTGCGACATTGCTGTATTCACCCCAGAGACGGATTAACCAATAAACCAACTAAACCACGGTTTAGGGCCTTGATTTCTGAGGGTCCCCAGATATGGATATTATATTGAAAAGTTGACCATGCATGTTATTAGATTTGATCCACGTTCAGAGTGGAGTTCCCATGTGTCGGGGTATTGTGGGCGAGATATTTTCCAGTGACTGAAGGTTCTCCCACTCAGATTCCTTATTAAAAAAAATCCCATTAAGAAGCACAAGGTATTAAAGCCTATTTTATTGTATCTGAAAATAAATGTGAAGACAGCCTTGAAATGCTTCCATTGTGCACCTTGATTCAAACTATGGGCCAAAACCAGAGTCCCCCTGTGTTTGTGATCGGCATGAGTCTAAAATTGTAATAGTGAACCCAGAAGTACATCCTTAGACCTGATATTCCACCTAATGGTGTGCAGAATTCTGGAAAGTTCTCAAATCCAGATTTAATTTGGAAGCTGATTTTATTTTTTTAAGAACTACGGAAAACTGGTTTCCAAAACCAATGCTGAATTTAAGATTTTTTAATTTTAATATAGCTTGAAATTAAAATTTCAAAGTTCTGACTCTATATCACTGGTGATAGTAAAATAATAATAATCGAGACATCTCAGAATGCTTCAGAGGATATGCCATAAAATGTGTATTTTGTGGGCGAATACAAATACACAAAAAATGTAAAATGAGGTGAATATCTAGTAAATATCCCATCCTGTTTCTAATTCATTGACACTGCCCTTTCAGGAAAGCATTGCGTGCATATTAACACCGATACAATACGTTTCACCCACAAATATACAGTTCACTTTGCAGTATATTCTGGGAAGCTTTGAGACGTCTTGAATAAGGGATAAGGCACTATATCAAATGCAAGGATTATTATTATTATTATTATCACAGGTGGAGGGGCCCAATATGATCCCCACAGATACAAAAGCACACACATTGGACACTACAGCCAAAATGGGTGAAGAACACCTGGCTGAAAGTCACAGTCTAGTGCATTCTGCACCCAGTCGGACACGTTTTCAAGGAGCGCTGAAGACTGGGGCAAGTGTTGTTACAACCTACTTTTCCAAGATGTGAATTATATTATATCAGCAGGTGTGAGATTTTACAAACCGAGTCTCACAGGTTTAGAACATACCTGAGCATGATGTGGCGGTCAGAGTAACGGGTAGTATCTATTCATCTTCTTCCTCGATGAGAAACAGATCCTGAAAAGACAGGTGGAAACAGCTCCCAAGAGAATGAGGTGCATAAAGCTCTTTACATTTTGTAGGTTTATGTATGGTGCTACCCTAGACTGCTTTATGAGCTCTGCTCTATTTGTTGTGTACCTTTTAAGTGGCTGGAACATTGTTGAAGTGCTGTTGCTGGCATTTTTGGGACATGTGGGGGTGAGGGAGGAGGTGGTGTTACAACACTAACCAAAACAATCTTTACATTTGGTATAGTCGGATGTTCGGGAAGATTGTGAGAATTCACCACATTGTTGACTCCTTCCCCCCACCCCACTCCTGTCAGTCAACTCTAACATCGGCTCGAAAGTGAGTAGCCGATAGTCTTTTATCTCTTGTCCCTGCTATTTCCGCCCTTTATAATAATAATAATTCTATTTTATAATTATCCTTGCATTTGATATAAAGCCGTATCACGACATCACAAAGCGTTTTCACAGGATATACTGTAAAGCGGGGAGACCGACTTCTCTTTTCAAATAGTATCGTAGGATCTTTAACGTCCACATGGACAGTCAAACACTTTTGCCCAGTGTTTGGGTCTGAGGTAGCTATTGGACATGTCAGCCCACAGTTAGTGGGGCACTATGATATTTTGTTTTAATTAAAAAAATTAATTTAAAAATTGTTCTCAGATGTAAATTCCATAGTTTGTTTTTTTCGAGCGCCTTGGGACGTCCTCCCGATGTGAAAGGCGCTGTACAAATGTAACCTTGTTGTTGTTGAGTTTTCGTTAGTAATCCCTTGCACCAGGGGTCCAATGCCATGAGCTATAAGACATCAAATTCAGTGCCATGAACTGCGCAGTAGTCTTCTGTTAGAATTGAATGGGGGTGGAACCAATTGATAACTTTAGCTATCGACGGAGGTGGAATTTTCTCTGATCTGATAAATCAACATGTCACAGGCCATAACTCTCAGCTCTATGATACTGTGATGAACAAATGGTAGATGTGGGATCAGGTATGGAGTCTCTGGATGGTTAGTACTGCTGGATTTAACGCATGAATGTTAAAATACCTTACAAAACTGCGAGAATAAGTGAATTTGTGATGACGAGGTACTTTCAACGCTAAAGATGAATACTTTTCTAAGCTGCTTGTCACAAACATACACACATACGGGGGTGTTTCCTTGTGGTGCATTTCTCCTCCTCCCTACGTCCTATTTTCAACTTGTTTATCCCCTCAAGTCAGACAAAAACAAATTTTTTTTAATTTAAAGATTGCTCTCAGATGTAAATTCCGTAGTTTTTTTTTTGCAAGGTACAGGCATGCAATAAAATACAATAAAGTCTTTAAGTGCTGGAAAGGCAAATTATATCAAGTTCACCAAACTATGTATTTGTAGGTAAACTCAGCAGCCAATTTGTGCACAGCAATGCCCCACAAACAGTCATTAAACTGTTTTATCCTGGGGGATTGTTGGCCAGGAAACATCAAGAAACTCCCTTCTCTTTTTGAATACTGGAATATTTAAGGTCCACTTTGTTTAACATATGATCTGAAGGACTGCGCTTTCGAAAATGCAACTCAATCCCCCAGAGTGTCAGCCTAGACTGTGAGCTCAAAGTTCCCGAGGTAGCGCTTGAACCCACAACCTTCTGACTGAAAAATGAGAGTGCTACCAGTTCAGCCAGGCTGACACACAACTACATTTTTAACTGTTTGTACACATTGCTGAGAGCAATAAGATGTGATCTTGAATCTGAAACAAATGAAACCTTTGTGCATCTGTGAAACAAAATAGTTTGAAATTCAGATTTTTTTAATATAGCAAGTCAAAAGGCATAAACGTAAGATTGTGAGCCAAAAGAGCAAATTTAGGAGGTTAGGAGGATTTTTTTCATGCACAGAATTGTTAGGGTATGGAATGCCCTGCTGGGAATGGTGGTTGAGGCAGAGTCCATGCTACCTTTCAAAAGGGAACTAGGTAAATATCGGTAAACTGCAGGAATAGTGGGGAGAAAGACAGGTAAACAGGACTGAAACGATTGCTCTTGAAAGACTCAGCACATACACGATGGGCCGAATGGCCAACTTCTGTGCTGTAAGTTTCTATGGTTTATGGTTCACCCTTTCTGAGAAGCTGTGCTTGTGTAATTTTATGGTTCAGTTGTGTTAATTTCTCATACACTCCTTTGTAATACCAGACAGTGTCCATGCTCTTTTACTATAATTACTCAAATTTTCCTGGACCAAGTCACCAGTGAATCATTCAGTTAACCACGCATCTCTCACTGAGCCAAGTGCCCAGTTTCACTTTCATTTAGTACCATCACATTGTATTCAGTTATAAGATCTAACAGGAGGAAGGTCAACCTTCACATGAGAGAGAGGGGAAAGAAGGGTATGGGAGGGGGAAATGAATAGATGGAGACTGATGTGGAATATAAATACCAACACGGAACGGTTGCCTCAAGTGGCCTGTTTCCGTGCTGCAGATTTTTTGTAAATCTAACATCGACATCGATGCTAACATATACAAAGTCATAACTTTCACCTCAATACAACAACAACAACATGATTGCATTTATAGAGCGCCTTTCACGTCGGGAGGACGTCCCAAGGCGCTGGACAGTTTGGTCGGGACCCAAGCCGGCGGGAAATGGTCGGGTGAGGGGAGGGAACGAGGAGGGCGTAGAGAGTCGAGAGGGGAGCTGAAGCATAGCAGTAGTAGGTTACAGCAACTCTTGGCTATGGAAAGAAAAACCAACCAGTGATTCCAATCCTAGTCAACATCACGGCTTTTGTATGAATTTCAGGACAGGGTGGTATTGAGTTTGACTGTGAAGCCCACAGTTACATGGCGCGCCAATATTCTGTCCAGATTCGGAACTGAAGACCGGTCATTTGGGCAAGTTCCCAGAGTATTGCAGGAATCCATGGACCACAGGCAGTGTGCATTGATGGTGGAGGGGAGGAAAATCTCATAACATATATGATGGTTGTAGAATGTGATTTCATCATGTTTGGGTGTTGACATATTGGCAAAAAGAGAAGACTCTAATGTACTTTCGGGGTCGATATTTCATCATTTAACTTCTCGGGCTGTGAATGTTCCAGCTTAAAACCAAAAGGTTGTGCTAAATGTCAGTGAAAAGTGAATGCATTTTGGGTGCAAATAGAATTGTCTGAGATTGTAAGAAGACAGAACAAAGGATTAAAATAACCTCCCCATGGCAACAAATTCCATGCTACCAAGGTAGCAGATGACAAAGATCTGTATCCTTTCAAGATAGCTGAAATGTCAGGAAGGAAAAAAAAACAGTGTGGCAGTAGCAGCTGGCAAATACAAATCGGGAAGAAAACTTGCCAGCAGTGGAGGAGAGTGGAGCCAAATAATAATAATAATAATACTTGCATTTGATACAGAAACTTATCAAGTCATTGAGAGCATCTCAAAGCACTTCGCAAAATATATTGTAAAGTGAATTGACCGTGTATTTTGTGGTCAAAACGCAGCAGCCAATTGTGCACAACAGTGTCCCACAGTTGTGGATTGAGTGACCAAATTGTTTTTTTGAGGGATTATTACATCAGAAAGTAATCCGTCAATTGACTAACAACCAGGTTTCTACTTAATGCAAGGTAAACTGAGGAGTGTGGAGTAAGGAAACTTGTCTAAGGTTTTGCCTTGCCCAGGAAAAAAATACATCAGGACTGACCTTTGTATTTTTGCAAGCGAATAATAATCCCATAAATAATAATAATCTTTCATTTTTTATGAACTCCTGTAATGTTGAAAGGTCTCTTGCTGAAAGTGTAGTGACTGTGTACTTGCAGGCAAATTCCTGCAGCTTGAAGTGACGTACTTGTGGTTCTCAGACAGAGTCCCTATTTGCGTAACTCGGATTCCTAAAGAAATTCCGTAAAGAAATGCCACACATCAAGCGCCAATCTTACCTTGTATACGTTGATTTAATTCAACTTAAATCGTTAACATGTGTACTAGTACAGAACACCTCTGTGTTAATCTCTGAACGTTACTTAGGACTCAGAAGAATGTTACAGGCTAACTATAATCCACTACGCTGTCCAAGTCACTTTTCCAGCTGTTTCATCAAGCACTCAGCCAGCTGTATCAGTGCAATAGCCGCTGGTGAATGCTGAAACTCCTGAATAATACTCTGACCATCCTCACAGCTCTGAGAGAGGGAGACGTCCACTGGAATCCTGCCCAGAAAGGGAATGCTGCGTTCTGTAGCAAATCTCTCTGCACCTCTAGATGAAAACAGATCTGTGGTCTCCTGAGAAAGATTTAGAAAAATAGAATATGGTTTTCCTTTGAGGATTACAATAAAAGGAGTACAAATGAAAGAGCGGACACTGGAAAGACACTCTCAAGCTGAAAATCAAATTGAAGGACCGAGTTGGGTCATGAGACTGCAACGCAAGTAACTTTTCAGTTACCCAATTCAGAGATTAGCATTCAACCTTTAGCTTTGCTGGTGATTAAGTTAATGAGTGACAGACTGCAGTTGTTTCAAGTGGAATCCATACATATACAAATTAATGCCGAGAAGTGGACATACTCAACTTTCCTGGCGATCACTAAGTGGGTGAATATCTCTAGGTTCAGTAATGCATGTTTCAAATCTGGGGATTGAAATTTCTAGTGTTCTTAGCATAAGACCATTGCCTTAAAATTTAGTATCTTGCAGCAGTATGGAAACAGTTTCAAATTCAGTTTTCATTTGGAGGCCAATTTTTCATTGAACTGTGGAAAGTCAGCTTCCATAAAACATTATGGGAATTTTGGAAAACAAGCGCAACTGTTTAGACAACGGTTTTATTGCTAAGAACATGAGGGCTTTCAGCCTCTGGACAGTGAATGTCAACTGCCTATTACAATGATTGGGATCATCATCATCCAGTCTAAGATTGGGTAACTTGGTACAAACTACAGATCAGACATGAATTTCTCTGCCATACATGTCTCTGGATACAGTACAATAATATTAATAATAAAACAATATTCCTTGCATTTGATACAGCACTTCATCACATCAAAACATCTCAAAGCACTTCACAGTAACTGCTGTTAAGTGACTGTATATTTTATAGGTGAGATTCAATTTGCACACAGCAATGTCCCACAAACAGCCAGGAGATAAATGATTAATTGAGAGGATTGTTGACCAGGACACTGGGGAAATAGTGCCTTTTCTTTTTGAAAAGTGCCATGGATTCCTTAACGTCCACTTGAAGAGAGAGACAAGATCTCCATTTAGCATTTTACTTGGAGGAAGTCACTCTGACAATGTAGCGCTCCATCAACCCTGTACTGGAGTATCAGCCTAGACCATGAGCTCAAATGAGTTCAAAGTCCCTACACGGGACCTACACCCAAAAGAAAATTCTGACACATTGCCAAGAGCTACAAACTGAGCCAAGCTGACACCTTAAGTTACATGGCCACACGCAATCTCTGAGAACAGTTTAACAGTTAAACAGGTTTAGGGGATATAGAACACTAACCTGACAGCATGGACATACAAATCCAGACATATTTTCCACCAGACCTATAATTCTCAGCCCCATCTTCCTGCAGAAGCTGATCTCCCTGCATACAGTACTGAGAGCCACAGCCTGAGAGAAAGCGAGAGAGAGAGAAATAAACCACACATTAGCTAATATCAGTTAATATTCCTGTTTTGTCCCTCCCTATTCCTGACTCTTTACAAACTCTTAACACTGGGCAAATTGAGCGAGAGAAATAAAATGGGTTGGCCTTCCATTCCAATGAAAGGTTTTGGGTCATCCTCCTGACATGAAAGGCTCTTTATAAAATGTTAACTTGTGTTATATTTTTTGCACAGTAACAATAATCAATAAATCGTGGGGGTTTGCAGCACAGGATTCTGAACACGTTCGTTCCTAGATTAAGGAATGAGGTTAAAATGTGTTTTGACTTGTTGCTTCCCTGACTTCGGATTAATGGGCAACTTCCAAAGCGAGAGCCACTGTCCTGAGTTCCTGTTCGGTGGATAATAATAATCCTTGCATTTGATATAGCGCCTTATCACGTCTTTGAGACGTCTCAAAGCACTTTGTAGAATATACTGTAAAGTAAATTGATTGTATATTTTGTGGGCGAAACGCAACAGCCAATTGCACATAAGTGTCCCACATCAGTTGTGGATTGAGTGGCCAAATTATTATCATTTATTTATTTTATCCACTGTTTGAAAAGGCAGCGTTAACTTGTATTATATTTCAAGTTCTGCTTTACAGGAGATGGGTTTAGTTACATTGTTCACTGGTAAAACATTGAAAAGCTGCATCGAGAGATCCAAAACGTCAATGGTGACCAGCTACAAATAAGTCAAGAGTTCAGCAATATGATCGCTGTTTACTGCTTCCGCATGTCATTTAAGAGGAAGCAATAGAAAAGTATGCAAGGGAGTAAAGAGTGGGTGGGGATTACTGTGATGTATAAATACCAGCACAAACTGTCTGGGCCGAATGGCACATGCTGTACAATCTACATAAATTTATATAAATCACCCTTGTCTTGTCTCAAAATTGAAGATGATGTGGAATTTTGGAAAATTGTTAAACTTTGTCGTAATTTGGAAGCTGCTTTTTCAGTAGTTCTCCTCCTTCCTACTCCTCCCTCCTACCCCACTCCCCCCCCACACGCCCATCCCACCCCTCCCCAGCCCAACCAACCACCATCCACAGCAGCACATTCTCTGTGTGTACCTGTGGGCTGGTGACAATAACAGCCCCATCTAACTTCACTTCCTGCAAGCCCTGGATTGCTGTTAGATGTTCATCACTGCTTCCAGGTGGGGTATCTTGAGCAAGGGAGGTAAGCAGTGTTAACGCTGACTACCACAAACTGCTCTAGGTGTCTTATCAGTCCTAACAGTCAGAATGACAGATATCAATGTACTGAACGGGAAAAGACTATTATAATAATAATATTCCTTGCATTTGATGTAGTGCCTTATCACGTCTTCAAAACGTCTCAAAGTGCTTCACAGGATATACTTTAAAGTATCGTGACTGTGTATTTTGTGGGCCCACTATTTAATACTAATCATAGTCCTTACACTTGGTGTGATCGGTAGGACTAACCGGACTTGTGCATTCTGTGAAAAAGATTAACTACAAAACTAATGCTACAATGTTGTTTGCAAGTGTGGTCTATCATTTTAACAAGCGTGCTATTGTAGTGGGATTTGAAAATATTACCAGGAGCTTCTTTTATATTGGTGGAGTAAACTAGTTTGCAAGTGGAGTAAAATAGGCTGAAGAATGTGAAACAACAAAAACGTGAATATTGCCTTTTATGAATTTTAGATTTCAAGATAGTAAACATACCAAACAGAAGAAAGTCTAGCCTTCCCCAGAAAGTGTCCTTCAGAAATCGTCTGATTATAGCTACAATTAGGAGAGAATAGTGATAAAATGTTAACCCTTACATTTGATATAGCACCTTTCACTTCAGGAAGGACATCTCAAAGCGCTTCACAAGAAATACTATAAATTATGGTGAGTTTGTATTTTTAGGCGAATGCAGCAGTCAATGTCCAAATGTGCCTCAAAGAGTTATGAAGTGAGCAACCAGTTTTATCTGGGGGATTGTTGACTAGGACAGCGGGATAAACTCCCTTCTCTTTTCCAATAGTGGCAATAGGATCTTTAACTTCACCTGAACAGACAGACTGGACCTGCGTTTAATGTCTCACCCCAAGGACGGCACCTCCAACAACGCAGAGCAACTCCCTCCGCTGTATTGGAGCCTCATTCTGGTCTATGAGCACATCCAGCAAAACTTTAAAGCTTTAAGTGAGCTTTTTCACAAACAGTGGGGTTTCTTTCAGCTCACGGTTTTTAAAGACCGCAAATTCAGGTTGCAGGAAACTCATAGTATCTCTAGACCCTCAGACAGGGGCTATGTAGGGCTCAGTCTTGCTTACAGTGTCACTTTGCTTTCCTTAGGCATATCTTCTAGATCATCTCCTTACACTCAGAACAGCATGTTGGCAGGATAACACAAACACTTCTTTTTAATCTCACCCCCAAAACTCTGCCTCTTTGCATATCAATTCTGATCTGATTGCAACGAGGCACCCACGTGAAATCTCGGTTTAGTGTTGTGTACTGGTTGGCAACTCTACAGATTGGCCTCATAAATTAATCTAAATGGGATAGGATTACTAGAAGGAGTAGTGGCTAAAGACTATTGGGCTCAGGCCCACATACAACATTGTATCTGCTATTATTCATCAGGGTCAAAGCTACCTTGGCAATAGCTCAAGCACTTTGTATGGTCATTGTACCTCTTATACCCCACCCAATCAGTTTCCTGCTTACTTCTTTCATTAGATAGTTTTCATCCTTAATGCCGTTGTACAAAAATGTTTCACAGGACCTTAATAAGTCCATACCTACGAGTTTCACAGACTGTATGAACCAGCTCAGTTCACCAGCTCACAAGATCGGTTCAGATGAAGAAGTCTGTTTTGGCTCATCTGATCTATCCCCTGCAGAACACACACCTTTACTGTCCTGCCATCACAGCATCAAGCTGTGTTTTAAATGAGCCAGGGTCCTGCCTTCAACCACCCTTCCTGACAACCTGTTCCAGTCATTGATTACTTTCTGTCTGTCCTGAAATTGCCCTTTACAACTCTAAACCCATGTCCTCTTGTTCTACAATCTTGGTGCATCTTAAAGTATTGTTCTGGGTTTGCTTTTTCAATCCATTTAAAATGCAATACAAATGGTCAACTGGCTCCTCATCCTGCATTCTCTGGTTTGGCTGGTAACCAATAACAATAATCCTTGCATTTGATATAATGCCTGATCACGTCCTCGAGACATCACAAACGCTTCACTGTAAAGTGAATTGACTGCATATTTTGTGGGTGAAACAAGGTAGCCATATGCACACAACAGTGTCCCACAAACAGTCGTGGTTTGAAGTGACCAGGTTATTATTATTAAACCCTTTAGTCTCACTATTTTCCATTCTTTCCCTTGCTCTCCAGCTAAGGAAAATAAGAGAATGCTGATTTGGAGGTGGTTGCTCAGATTTTGTATTTGTAGCCACTTACTTCTCTCCTGAAGTTGTTTTTGTTGCTGTTGAGCTTTCAAATGTAATTACAAACAAAAGGAGTTGAAAATTGCAAGGCTGACATGTTAATTATCAAATTTTTCCGACAACCTGCTTTGTATTGATTCGCTATTTGACAACATCCTTCTCCATTATTATTATTATTTTTATTCTCTATTGATTCTGCAGTCACTTGTCCAGTCTTTCAGTGCTGAAGCATTCTCAGTAAGGGAACTTGCATTTTGAAAAGAAGGGAGCTCAAATCTCTATGGTAAGAGATTTTAAAACTCAATTATAGGTTGAAATGTAGAAAAAGGTTATGCAACTTTACCGCTTGCATATTTATTACAGGGAAAGCATGAGTTGCTCCTAACAACATGGCGTGACTGCCAGACTCATTAGACTTCAGCAGCTGGGGACTGTGATGGACATTGAGGTGTGTGAGTCTAACTGGATCCAGTTGTTACCTGTGCTCATTCACAAGGCATCAATATTTTGAGTGACAAGAGGTGATCTCCGTGTACAAATTATGAAGACCCTCTGACACGCTGAAGTATAGCAAGCAGTACTAGAGCTGTTTAATGAATAATTTATCAGTCTTCTACCTGTCTTTCTGGGACCCCTCCAAATCACAGCCGAATCCTTGTTCCCCATCAAAGAACCCACAGACATCACTTTGACAGAGTTGTGAGGAGAGCTGAAACAAAGGATCTGATTTAATGATGAGCAATGTTATTTTTCTTCTGCTTTACCACTCACACACATATTTTATAAGACTCTTTTACATATATTTCTGAGATGCAGACGTGTCTCCTTCCCCTTTGTAGTTCTCTCTCTTCCGCCCCCACCACCACCAAGCTTGGGCTCCCAGTCAGTTGCGTTAAGCACTCTAAGACTCCTTCTACATGAAATATATAAATGTAAAGACTAACGTGACATATAAAACACTCTTAAAGCGTCTACTTCATGTCCTCCAACTGCTCTGCCAAACCATGAGTGAGAGGGACAGTGGGCTGCCAGCCAGTCTGCCCACACACTCTAAACATATCTTGATATTGGGTAAAATCATTCACTCAGTGCAGCGAATCTTGCTCAATGTATCCCGTTGGGTAGGTCCTTTTTCCATATCCTTTTTGGTCACATGAGTGGGTGTCTGACACAACCAGAAATCTATCATTTTGCTTAAGAGTCTCCAAACCAAACTACCAAGAGAGCCACATATGTATGGTTTCTGTTTGTATGGAGTGCTTATGCTATCTATCACTCCGCCTTGCCCCTTCCTTTCCCATCTTCGGGTCGCGCCTCAAGACCTTCCTTTTCGACCATGCCTATGGTCACGTCCCCCTCCCCTCGGCTCAGCGTTGTGCCACTCTCAAGTGCTCTGGGCTGTTACCCTGCATGAGGTGCGCTATATAAATGCAAGTTCTTGTTGTTGTTAATCTCTCCTCAGAAGAATGCACCAAAGCTTCGAGAATTTAGGCACTGGTTAACAAGAGCCAAGACTTGGGGTCTCTGTAGTGTGCAACTGGGTACTGCTGCAGGTTAACCAACTCAAATCCCATAGCTTGACATTGTTAAACTTTCCTAGTTGCTTGTCCAGCTAGGATCACCATATATTCTAGAGATTCAGCTTGCAGTGTTAATAAGTAGAATTCAAGCCTCCATAATCTTTTCCCCATAACCTACATTTGCATAGAGATAAACTTCACAAGCTCGCTTTCATATTTTCAAAGCAAGCAAAGAAAAAGGCAAATAGGAGACACAGGAGAATTTTAGTTAAACGCTGATAAACATGTGGAACAACTACCAGCCAGGTGTTGGAACGCATAAACCACAGAGGGTTTCAAAGAGGCAAAACAGTTCCTGTCAACTAAATGTATTCAGTGTTCGTAGATTTAAAGGTAGATTTATTGAAGGAATTGTGCAGGAAATAGGTTGTGTACCTTGGATCCAAACAGTGTGTGTGGGTCTGTGTATTTGTGTTGCTTATGGACAGGTATTTGAAAAATAAAAACAGGTATTTAGACGCGATCTCCCCACAAATACAGATACACCCACGTGCCTGCCAGCGCTGGCTGGATCCCTGCACCAGTTTTCAGCATAACACAGCGAAAACCCAGGTCTCTGTGGTGAACCAAAAAGCTTCTGCAGAAAAGTATAAGAAACTACGAACGAGAAATTCCAACCAGGTATTTGATTCATTCTGTTTAAGCAGCATCTCAGAGCATCCATGAGTTTGGTAATTTGATGAATTCAGTCTTAACTTTGAACTTTTTCTGTTAAATCAAGACTGTTTAAGAACTTGCAGGATTCTGGATGCTCTGAAATGCTCCATAAACAAAATAAATTAGACCCAGGTGGAATTTCACCCCCTATTTTCGATTAAACAATAGAAACTGTTCAAATGCTTATTTTGGAATCATAACAAAAAAATCAATTTCTTATATAAAAGAAATTGGTCTGACACATGCGGAAACCCTTCACCATGCTTAAGAGTATAATTATATATTATTATATTAAAAAAATTTCAAGCAGAAAAGGAGATTGAAAGAAAACCAGTATGGAAGAAAATTGTTTCTATTTGATTCAGTGACAAACCTACGTCAGCGGCTGCCAGCCATACGGAGTGTGAATTACTCTTTGCTCCTGTATGTTCAGCAACCTGGGGATACTAGGACCACAGATATCTAGGTCACAGATGGCCACCTGAAAATGGAGTAACATCACATTTCAGTGCGATCGCTGCAAGTGTTACAAAGCAGAACATGGCAAGTAAGTGATTTTGTAGGCAAACAATGCGCTAGTTTGCCTACAAAATCACAGTTGTTACACTTTACTGTAAATATTACGAAGAGCTTCGAGATGTGAAAGGTGCTACATCAAGTGCAAGGATCCAGAATAACGCTGGGTGGTAACAAGTAAGTGCATTTGGCTCCACTGGTGCTAACTCTTCTGGAGGAACTCTGAAGCCAACTCTCAATGTGGGACATCAGCAGGATCTGCGAGAGCAGAGCAACACTGCCGCCTTCATTTTAGCAGTTTAGTAGGAGTTTTATTGCTCCTGGGGACTAATTAATGCCTGAAGTAAGAGAGTGCTCTCTCACATGGCTTAGATTCTGCTTTTAAGAATCACAGCGGAGGGGAAGGGGAACAAACATCAAACAAGTTTTTAAAAAGATCAAAATAAAAATTGCAAGAAATGTGAAGGGGTTGTCTAATATATACGGAGGAATAAATGGGACTGACACTTGTCCCCATCCACACAGCCTCAGATTTGGGGCATTTAAAAATGCTTTGAGAGAACTTTCACCTTTTTTTTTACCTTGTGGTTCAGTTTGGCCAGAGCCATGCTGAGTCCTGCTGCCACACTTGATTTTCCCACACCTGAATGAAATAAAAGCAAAGAAATATGAGGGTTACAATTGGAGCATTTCAAGAAAATGGTCCCTAAAAGTAGTTGAGATGTTTTGTTATAAAAACCTACAAGATTTTACATTAATATATAACCATTATTATATATTAATTATATATTAATTAATATATAAGCATTAATAAGAAAAGAATATTGATGCACATTGGGCACTTCAGCTATCCCAATATAAACTGTGCTTATCCAATTGGGAAGGTCTGAACTTGTTAATGTTAAGCATTGTTTCCTGACGCAATGAGACAGCTATAGACAACTCTCTCCTACACATGGCTCTTATGGATGACCTAGACTCTGTTCTGGGACCTGAAGATGTAGTTGAACCACTATACAATTGTAATGGCATGTAATGTTACTATTACAACAACAAAATTACATTTGAAAAGTGCCTTTCACGTCGGGAGGACATCCCAAGGCACTGGACAGACAGAGCAATGGACCCGAGCTGGGGGTCGGGGTGGGGGAGGGTGGAGACCAGGCGGGGCAGCAAGGAGATCTAAAGCACAGTCGAAGAGGAAGGTCTTGAGATGGGTCTTGAAAGTGGCAAGGGAGGGGGCAAGGCAGAGGGACTGGGGGATAGAGTTCCAGAGGGTGGGGGCAGAGTGGTAGAAGGCCTGCCTGCCGATAATGGGGTGAGCAAGGTGGGGGACGTGAAGCAGGCCAGAGCTGAGCGGAGGGAGCAAACAGAATGGTAGGGGGTTTGGAGGTCGGAGAGGTAGGGGGAGCAAGACCATGGAGGGCTTTGAAGGTGAGGAGCAGGATCTTGAACTGTATTCTCTGTGTAATGCGAAGCCAGTGGAGTTGGGCGGGGATGGGGGTGATAGGGTTGCGGAGCCTAGTGCGGGAGAGGACATGGGCTGCAGAGTTCCGGATGATCTGCAAACTGTGGAGGGATGGGTTGGGAAGGCCGACAAGCAATGAGTTTGCATAGTCGAGCCTCAATGTAATGAAGGCATGTATGAGGGTTTCAGCGGCCTGCGGTGTGAGACAGTGACTAAGGAAATAGACACAGGACTGAACCTTAATATACCACTTAAAATGGATAAACTTTGGGGGGTATGAGAGTTAAACTTAATGACATCGGTTTGGGATGGGGATAACATGGAGGTGTAACAGGGCTGAAGCATTAACCTGTTAAGGATATTTTAACATCATTGATCTTAATATGACAGACTGCAAAGTCTATGTGGGTGTAAAGCCAAGACCAGATGTGGTGAAAAATGTGATACTTCATAATGGTTTTGTCGGCAAAGTCACAATTAGAGAATTTATCTTGAAATGTCACATTTTTCAATTCCATACCAGTGAGAAGAAAGATTCAAGTAACAGTGAATAAAGTGAAAAGGTAAAGCACAACGAAAATGACTTTTGTTTCTCTCATGAAGATGCTGAGTCTGGATCCTGACTGTTGAAATCGAAAGAGGCACAAACATTGTTAAATATTAGCACTGAATCTAATGCAAGTGGAGTGGGCTGTCAAAGGAAAATCTCACCCAGCACGGTGTAAAGACTAGCAAACCCCACTTCAATAACTATTGCCACGAACGGTTATTCGAAATAAAATTTAATGCAAAAAAAAAAGAACTTAAACTGAACACTTCACTTACATGGTGTGGACCATGTCATTCAATCACCAAATACTCTCAGAAATTCTCCTCACCTCCTTTTCCAGACATGATTATAATCTTGTGTTTGATGGCATTCATGCGGCAGTTAATAACTTCCTGTTCAGGGTCTCGACCTCCTGAGAGTAGAGAAGAAAACACTTTATGTTGGCATTTCAAAAAAAAGTCTTAAGCTGTGTGTTTTTTTGTCACTTTGCTGGAAAAAAATTGCTTCTTCTATTATGCCCTTATTGTGTCTAACCTTTCGCAGTCGGGATTGTCAAAACCTGCAGACATCTCCAAAGATGTAACGTTTAATGTAATGCTTTAACTGATAGAGAAATGATATGTTGTGCTGAAGAACCATAGGCTCCAATCGTAAACTGCATCTCAGGAAAAAAAACAGAACTGTGTACATGGATTTTATATCCCCCCCCCCCAGTTATTTGTGGAAGAAATTCATATAATTGAAGAAAATTGTGAAATCTTTTCATCTGTAAAGATTTATGCCACTGACGGATGATTTCCGTTGAGATGAAACCCTGATAGCACACTGATGGAATACAATTATTAATTGGATTCTAAAGATCTATCCACACACACTGTGAGCTTCAAGCTCAATTGTCTGATTTGCTTCTTGGAAATTGGGTTTGGTAAATAGAGGTATGGAGAAAAGGCTGGGAAATGGGTTATTATTATTATTTAAAAGATCTGCTGTGATTTAATAGCAGGCTCAATGGGCTGAATGACACCCTGTCCCTATATTCTTAAATAAAGGGAGGGGGCGTCTTATCATACACCAGTGGCCAGTGTTCAGGATTTCTCCAGATGTTTGTCATCTGAGTTTCTGTTTATACTGCACTTGCGGGTGCTGATTGGCTGTCACAATTTACTGCCAGATGCAAGGTATAAATGCAGCATTAGACAGACTTCGAAACAGACTAATAATAATAATAATAATCCTTGTCATTTGATATAGCACCTTATCACATCTTCAAGATGTCTCAAAGCGCTTCACAGAATATACTGTAAAGTGAATTGACTATATTTTATGGGCGAAATACAGCAGCCAATTGCGCACAGCAGTGTCCCACAAACAGTCGTGGATTGAGTGACCAATTTATTATTATATTTTAAGGAATTATTACCCCTCGAAAAGCCAATTGAACAGCAACCGGGTTTCAAACTTACTGCTAGGCTAGCAGAGGCATGTGGAGTAAGGAAACTTGACCAACATTTCACCTTGCTGAGAATTGAACCTGGGTCTCGCGCTTGCAAGACGAGTGCTCTAACCACTGCACTGCAGGAGCTCATTGGGTAATGGATCTTATTTTTGCACCATTTCTTAAACAGGTTGCCCTTAATAAGGATTACAACTCGTGCCATTAGAGCTTCCTTCTGGTAAACGGAAGCTCGGTCATTTTGAGCAGCGGGAATCCCACTCATTTCACAGGGAACTGGGGATGAAAACATACGTTCAGCATACCCTCAGCTCCAGAGGGTACATTCGCTATTACTTACGAGCACTCAGAAATCATTAGCATGAAAGCAACAATTTTGGTCAGATTATTGGGGTGGTGGGGGGAGAGGGACAGAGAGGGCTGCTCCTGATCAATATCCATTTACTCTCCTATAAGGTGTGATGTTATCAACATTGTCTTAGGACGGGATCAGGCTCAGCTGCGATTCCATTCACTGATGCTCGCACATGGAGAACGACCATCATTGGGCGCTGGAGAGATGCCGATGTAAGTCAGACTGTACTGGAACACAAGTCTGCGCCTCTGGGAGAAAATCTGGGAAAAATCTGTATTTTTTTTGTGTAACCTCTTCTGGGAAGCAAAGGTTTGTGTGTGTGTGTGTCTGCATGTGCGTGGAACGAGTGCTTTAGGGAATGATGGAATGTGTACAGGTGGAAGGTTGGAGCAATGGCTCACCTCGGTGACTGGATAAAGACAAAAAGTGACATCTTCTACATCAATAGTTTCTCACCTATTTGCTGACACAGAGCTTGGCCAGGACATCCCTGGCAGACTGACCCAAACCCTGCAAGACGCTGAAACAGAAAAGTGCAGGTTAAATTTGAACGGCATAATTTACGATGATTCTCTTCACTACGCTTACAAGTTAGTCGCACTCACTCATACACACGTTTAATGCAATTTCAAATCATAATTTCAAATGATAGACAATTACATTATAATGAAATTATACACACCTTATAACATTGCATTATATTTATTCATCAACGTACTGGGTCAAATTTACTAACCTTACCAAACAGAGTAGAGTAGCTCTTACACCACATCAATAAATTTGCTACATTGAGGAAATGGACCGTAATAGCATTCAATAAAGCCTCCTGTTGAAATTAAGCTGTACAAGAAAGATTTGAATGATGAAGAGTCTTCGGCTCATTTCGTCTCATTTTCCACAGTTCTGATCTTCTTTTCCTCTTGTAGCTTTAAGCTGTTCCTTAATTGAGTCCAATGTTCTTTTCCCTATGATTCTCTCCGGTAATCTGTCATCATTTCGCCCCCAAAATACAGTCAATTCACTTTACAGTATATTCTGTGAAGCGCTTTGAAACGTCTCGAAGACGTGATAAGACGCTATATCAAATTCAAGGATTATTATTATCATCCGTTTAAAGAACTGCTTTTTAGATTCTGTTCTAAAATTACCCTTCACAACCCTGAATCTATGCTCTCTTGTTCTACTGTCTCAGTATATTTAAAAATATTGTTTGTGACTGATTTTATCTTGTTAAACATCTTACATTCCTCTATAAGGTCCCTTCTCAGACACTTCTTTTCTACACTGAAAAATATAGTCATTCTTCATTGCTTATTCCTCTCTGATCAGCCTCGTTTCTTTGTGCTACATCTGGGGCTTGGGCAGCCCCAATATGATGGGGTGGCCAGAACTAGCATGAAGTTTGTCTCTGATGAGACCTGAGCAGAGCACAGTGCATTCTGAACGTGACTTCTGGGGATGTGAACTCAATTAATCTGGCAATGGAGCCTGTCATCCCGTCACCTTTATTTATAACTGCCTCAAACTGGCTGGACATGGTGAGCAATGAGCAATTAATGCCCCTAGGTCTCTTAACAGTAGCTTTTAAACTGGAAGCAGGAAATGAGAATTTGGAATTATTCGGCCTCATCACAACAACAAAATTACATTTGTAAAGCGCCTTTTACGTCAGGAGGACGTCCCAACACGTTGAACAGTCGGGCATCAGTACCCGAGGATGGGGGGGGGGGGTGCAGGGTTGGGATGAGGAAGGGCAGAGAGGTAGGAGAGCAGCTGAAGACGCGGTCAAAAAGGAGGGTCCTGAGTCGTGCCTTAAAGGAGACAAGGGAGGGAGCAAGGGGAAGGGATTGTGGGATGGAGTTCCAAAGGGTGGAGGCAGAGAAGCTGAAAGTCCGGCCACTGATGGTAGGACGGGTCAGGCAGGAGACATGGAGCAGGCCAGAGCCTGCTGAATGGAAGGAGTGGACAGGTTGATTGGGGTTAGCAGGTTAACAACAGAAATAATAATAATAATCCTTGCATTTGACAGAGTGTCTTATGACATCATTGAGACGTCTCAAAATGCTTTACAGAATATACTGTAACATGGCCAGAGTCTAATAATATACCCAGGAATATACAGCCAGAGACACAGCACTATACCACTGGTTGCTTTCGGGGACAACTTCAGTGAGTGAGTCTGCCTGTGATGTGTATGAAGTGCTAGATATAAAATGGACATTTAATTGTCCCTCTTTGTAATCTTAACCTTAATCTAACACCTTTGTAATGAAACATACAAAAAAGATACTTTTACTTATATCTCACCGGTTCCGGGCAGCTTGCCGTGTCTCCTGTCACCTTTAGGGTGGAAGCCTGATCAGCCATATCTTCAAATTTCTAACCCTCCTGTGCCATGTAACGCAGACCAGCGCTGTTTCACTTGAAGAAAGTGCAACTCTCACAAAATAAAGAGGTGCATTGGGAGAACAGATAGCTTCTTTAGACTTCACCCTTCTTCTTAACCAGTGCGGGCTGTCACGAGCTTCCAGGCCAGTTTGACTGATTTTTCAGGGCATCTTGTGTTGACATTTGGTTTATCTCCTGATGTAACTCCGGGTCCAGCCCCCAGCAAATAACACAAATAAAAGAGCCGGGCTGAACGTTGCGGACTTTAACCTTTACCCACTACAGATGACGCAATAATTCCACCCTATGGATGAGACTTTAAAAGGGTTCTTCCTTTTGAAACAGTGGAAGGAGATAACAGTGCAAAGAAAAAAGAAAGAATTATGATTGGTGCATTACTAGAAAGCTGCTACTTCATTTTCAGCAAGTGTTTGTATGAAAAATAAAAGATATGCAATGAGTCATCAACACCCACAACAGCAACAACAATAAATTGCACTTATATAAGGTCTTTCACATTTGGATGATGTCCCAAGGTGCTGGACAGTCAAGGATTTCCACCCAAGTTGGGGTTTGGAATCAAGAGGGGTCAAGGGCAAGAGTGTAGGGTGGGAGAATGCAGTACTTGAGCAGCGTTGGATAGTTGGAAGGCTGTATTGCTCTTCAGATGATTTGTTATGATGAGACAATTTCTGGCTGCTCCAATGCTAATGATACACAAGAAAAATAACATCACAGCATATATTCGGCACCTAGTCAAAAATAGCAAAGGTGATGGAGGAAATGGAGAGAGAACACAAGAGAAAGGCCTGAACGTGCAAATGGAAATTTCTGATCGAAAGAGTTCCAGAAATTTAAAGATAGTAATTTGTACTCCTCCAAATTACTGTGCATAAATTATCCCCTAGGCATAAATAAATGGAGGAAGCAATCGGTGCTGGTGTATTATACAATTTGTCACTGAATACTGGAAGATAGGATCCAGCCTTCAATTCTCTGCGTGCTCACTGAGTTCCCAAGCCAAAGATGGACCTCCGGGGTATGGCAAGGCAATGCATTGAAGATGGAGATAAGGAGCAGCAGCAAACCAGCCCATGTCACTCTCACACATACTTCATAGCGTTTGGTTATAGAATAGCATTTGCAGAGTGCTGGGAGCTAGAATGCAATCTCATCTGTCTCCTTCCCTGTGGATTCCTTTCACCTGAAACGTGAGATAAGGTTAGTCCATTGTAATCAGTTCTGCACACCCTCTGTTTTATAATGCATAACAACAGTGAAGTAAATGAAGTCTGGCTGTGGTGCTGCTGCCTGTGGAAGATAAGATTTTTCGGACTGTGCTCTGTGAAGGTTACCCCTTCTTAATATGCAAGGCAGATTTTCGTAAGAAAACTCCATTGCAAGATTGATTCAATCATTACTAGAATTAGCCAAAACATTTAAATATTAAAAGTTGCAATTTGTAATTAATGGATTTCCTAATTAAGAAATCCCATCATGGGCTAGGGGGCCAAATGGCCTGTGTGTGTGCATTATCGTTCCATGTAATTCATCATACTGCATTAATCTGAGCCTTGACTCATTACAGTGAATGGAAGTAAATTATACTCATCTCACTGTGACTCAAGTGCATCCTGCTCCGAAAATAGATCAAATTGGAGCGGTATTCCTGAAAAATCGACTTTGAGACTTCCTGATCTCTTCAATTCAAACAAAACCCAATGCGAAAAGTCCCCAGATTCACCCCATTTTACGAGGTGGTAATTTGAACCTTTAGTACACATGTGTGGAATGTCAGAATAAGTAGATGCTTGGTGAAGCAGGAGCAATAAAGGTTTGCAATTCAGGTCATGCACTGAAAAAGATGGTAACTGCTGGTAAGATAATGGCAAAACTGTCAGATATTTAGATGTGAGAGAAGAGATGGGTATTCAGCCAGACAGCTGAATGTCCTGTAGTGGAGTCCTGTAGCTCAGTGGTTAGAGCACTCGCCTTGCAAGCGAGACACCTGAGTTCAATTCCAGGCCGGGCGAAACCTTGGGCAAGTTTCCTTACTCCACACGCCTAATAATAATCCCTCCAAAACGAAACAATAATAAATTGTTCATTTTCAATCCACGACTGTTTGTGGGACACTGCTGTGTGCAATTGGCTGCCGCGTTTCACCCACAAATATTCGGTCAATTCACTTTACAGTCTATTCTGTGAAGTGCTTTGAGATGTCGAGAAGACGTGAAAAGCACTATATCAAATGCAAGGATTATTTCATGAGGAAAAGAGAAAGGAGTTTTTTTCCTGTGTGCTGGACAACAAATAAAATTAATCATTCGCTTCATCGTTGATTATGGGCCATTGCTATGAGCAAATTGGCCACAGCGTTCATCTACAACATATACAGTCACAACACTTTACAGTAAATCCTGTCAACCCCATTGAAACATCGTCCCAACATGAAAGGAGCTATGCCAAATGCAAGGATTAGTGTTTTTACTGCACAAGAAGCAGAGGGCAACCAAGTTATTCAAGCATATCTTGAATTTGTGTCCTTCCCAGCCTAGGGGAGCTGAGACCAATTCTGCCACCTGAACCAGGAAGCACTTCTTTACCCAGAAGGTAAGTAACAATGGGAGCGGGTTACCAGGCAGAGCGGGTGAGGCTGGGATACTGGACTCATTTAATAAGCAGCTTGATGCTGTGGTTCGAGGACGGCAGGATGGGTATACTGGAAGGATGAGATCAAAAGGTCCGGAGGAGTTTCTTCACCAGAACCTCTCTTGTAATACTGTGACTTTCAAAACAGTACAGTATCACTTTCTGGTTCAGGTGACAGAAAGTGTCCCAAAATATATATGACCGTCCCTCCCTTTTGCAAGAATCCCATCTAGCCAAAGGTGGCCGAACTTTTAGTCCACTCTCTGAAACTCCACATCAGAGTCTCTCTGCTCGCCCCTCCCTCCACCACTTTTAAAGCCAGTTTTAAGACTGTCTTTGACTATGCTTTTGGTCATCTTTGTTTCCCTGCGCCCCCAGGCCTGGGTGCCCAGTCAGTCATGTAAATTGTTTGAGACACTTCCCCACATGAAAGGCGCTATATAAATGGAAATTGTAGTGCGTTATTCAAGTAAAATTGGAAGTACGTGCACTGTCAGCCATGCTGTCAGAAATGAGTGAGCAGTGACCTTGTTTAACATGCACCAGATTACAGAGAGGCAAACTCAAGGTTGCTGCAGCTGTCACATTGAACAAGAAGTGCAAATTCAAGGTGCTTGTTGTGGAATTTGATTAGGAATTCTGGAAATTATAGACCAGTTAGTGCAACATCTGCAGTGGGAAATTGCCTGGCTGATTCATACAGGATTGTGACCAAAACACTGTACATCTTGAACATGGCATATCACGTGCCTTATTACATTGTCGAGACGTCTCAAAGCGCTTCATAGGATTTTACGATGAAGTGTAGTTTGTACACTTCCAGGGAAATGAGTTTAATTGGTTTGGCAATGTAGGTCAGCTTGCCATTATTTGTAACCTCCTCACCCTGTTTTGACTTGGTGAACAAAGAATCAGCTCTCACTTCAGTTGGTTGTTTCCTGTCCAAGGAGTACATGAGGTTTCTATTATCAGTTCACATATATATGTGACATACAGTGTCATGCACTGCATTTAACTGTACTGAACTTCATTTTCCAGTAATCAACCCTGGTACACACTCTTTGTAAACATTGACAGACTGCTTCTAAATTGGTGCTATCTGAAAATGTAATTACCATTCACTGATCACTTATGTGCACCAAGGAACAGAAAGGTTCCCATCAATACATCGAGGTGCCACACTCGATATATTACTTCCTTCCCATCTCAGCCTAGTTCCCCTTATGACTCCTCTCTGCAACTTAAACAGATGGACGAAGAAATGATAGATTTTAAAGTAAATAAAGGTAAAGTGAAACACATTCAAGCAGGGACAATAAAATACCTAAATAAAAAGGTTTCCATTAGTAACTTTTAAAAAAAGATTTGGAGGCAATTACTCACAACATTTACAGAGTGAAATAAATAAACATAATCAAATACTAGGATGTAATTTGACAGCATTTGAATATAGGCCAAAACAAGCTATTATAACCTTGTTGAAGTTGCATGTAGAATATTGAGTGTAATTAGTGTATCAGTGAGTGTATCACTGTTGAAATTGCATTTAGAATATTGATTGTAGTTTTGGCCGATCTATCTTCAAAAGGACATTGATGCACTCGGGGACGGTTTGACAAGAGCAACATAGATAATTACTTAGTTTATTGGAAATTGAGAATAATTTGTGCGTGAATTAAATATTGAACATGGGGAGAAAAAACTAATGTTATTGGATTAAAATGGGTGAAATTATACATGGAAAAAACACTGGGAATTTAGGGAAAAAAACGAATACCAATTTAACAAGTTGGTTTAACAATTTGGCTTAACAATTTAACAAGTTGGTTTTATTTGTTTAAAAGTTGAACAATATAGTTTCACTGAAAGAAAATGAAGTCATAACTTTAAACAGCTTCTTTTAACAAGAGATCACCGCAGACAGAGAGGCATGTAGGGATGTATGTCAGCTCAAATGTTTAGCCACTTCCTGATACGCACAACAGAAGGCAAGTCACATTGCAGTGTGAGGACCAAAGGGCCTGAGTGGATACAAGCAAGGGAAGAACAGAGAGAAAAAAATGAAATTAAAGAGGATTTGCTCCGTAATAATCTTGGCCCTAGAGTTCCACCTCACTGGTAAGAATTCCATTTTATTTGCCAAATGTAAAATTATAGCAGCTAACATTTACGATTCAAAAGGTAGAAGAGTTGTCTGTGGTTGTAGCATAAGGAAATTGCCTAACATGTGTGCAACACTTTATGAACTCTGCGATTGTTAGATTATGGCATATCTTCATTATCCCGGTTTAGTCTGGTGCAATATTATGACAACTTATTATGTCAGTCTAATAAGGAAGGAACATTTTTCAGAACAGAGTGGCTGAAAAACACAACTGTGCCCAATGTAAAATGATCTGATCACAGATGGTAAAACTTCAACAACTGAGTTTTAATAAGGAAACAATCTATCTGGGTTCACTCGGACTCATTCAATTATTTATTTCCCCTGGATCTTATTTGTAGTCCCCGTCATAGAAGCAACCTGTTGAGTTAACCTGATGTTTGTTAAGAAGGACCAAAAATAAAGAGTTTCATTCAGAATCCAAGATGGATATCATCTGGGATTTAATCCCACTCAGGAAAATTTGTCTTTTTCTTCTTAAAACTGGTCAAAATTTTAATCCCTAAAATCCTCATACATCGAAACCAGCCCAAACACATAAAAAAAAGCTAATTGGTTTGTCCAGTTGTAAACCTGACATTAGCTTAAGAGCTTTTGGAATTCAACTTGTAAAATTATCTTGTAATTTTTAAGGCAATCGCTGTTAGTCATAAAACAGATTTAGTTTACGCATCTGGATATTATTTGGGTTGCGAATACAGCCAATTTGGCCAAATGAGAAAAACCTGTAATGGACAAGCATCCACACTCCAACAATTGCTAGACCATTCAATATCTGGTTAATCAGGGACAAAGAGCCTTGCATTATTCACATCTAAATCTGGCACTTTATCTTTCTCTCAAAAACAAATTCTTTCCTGATCACAGACGGGCTGCGTCCAGTTTTGTAAAGTTCATATGCACAAATGGACTTGGCTACCAAAATGGCAACAGTGGAGCGAGCTAGTCGAGAGGTCTGCAGGCCTAATGATTTGTGGGGTTTGTATCTTTGACACAATTTAAGAAGTGTTATAGAAGAAGGAGGCAATAATCCAACACGAGAATATATTTCTTGTTTTTCTTATCAATTACCTTGGACGTTCATGACTCCAGACTTTTTTTTTCCTCAAACATACAACCATCAGTAAAAATAAACCACCATTTTCTTTGGAGCAATTCAGTTATACCGGGCAGGAATAGTGGATTTACATGTAGAAAGAGCTTATTTTATTTTTTAAAAGGCTACCACCAACATAGAGGAACATACATTTTGTCACATCATGCATTGTGATGAGACACCACTCATTTTTAGTTACAGTATTATTTGAGTGCTATTATTTTAAAAGGCAAGCTTTAAAAACGTAAAAGTTTCTGAACTTTTAGTGAATATGTGGCAGTCTAGATTTATATTCTGAAAATAAAGAGAGAAACGACTCTTGATCGGTTAATGTGACAATATTGTCAGTGTTACAAAATGGCAGAAGCTCTTATTGCCCTGACTATTATCGAAGTGTTGCGTGTCTAAGATGACACTAGGTAGAAAGACTATACCAGTGTTTTCAAACGTGTCTGAGATGCGTTGTATGAATATCTGGAATAAATTCTGTAAATTAGAGAAGATGCTCATCCTTTGGCCCCAGTTAGTTTGACTCATACCTGTCCCACACCAAGGACTTTGTCTCTATGATCGTGGAATTTCAAGTAAAAGTTGGCAAAGAAGTTAATGTTCGAAACTGACAGAGGATTTTCTGACTTGGAAGATTACAGAGCAGCATTTAATCTGAATTCAGACAGAAACACACAGAGTTTTTAAATGGAAGGTTGAGGCAATGAACATTGTTTCTTCTCCTGACCGTTTCGGCCACTGTTATTTACTTCAGCAAGTTTAGTTCAAATGCATAAAAACCATACCGGCGAAAATTTGGGCATTTTTCACGTAACATGCATGGTTTGCATGAAATTCAAATACTAGACATTCAAACAAGCTGTTCCTGTTGTAATAATCCTTTGCTTACGATATCAGGATGGCTTAGGCTGGGGGAAAAAAAAACTTTAAAAATTCTAATGCAGGGGTAACATTTATTTATACAGACATTATTGCAGGTTCCCCTCCCCCCCCCATCTCCACAGGTCTTAAATTTATACAATATCTGAATAAAATTGGAAGTAACATACATCTGTGATGGGGAGAATGGGAGAGTTAATAGGCTGTCCATGTTGTGGCATAATACTTCACATTGAAAATGCTCCTGGCTAATGTATAAATAACACAGGAGTTAGGCAGGTTGCGCACCTCTGTGAATGTGAAATCTGCACATTTGATTTCAATACAGTACATTGAGTTAGAACAATAATTCTTTTGCTGGGGAATTGAGACTGTTTAGGCAACAAATACATTGCAGCAATACGAACAGACACAAAGCAAAATGCAAGAACACAGGAGGGAAAGAATATCTAACTAAACAAGAGATTTGACATAGAAATTAGATGTAATATATTCAGTTTCTGTATTGGGTCTTGGCTCCAAAAAATAATATACCTTTGTAGGATAAGCAATTTTTTAAAAAACTGGCTGTTTGTTTTTACATGGGCTCCATTTTTATAACGGTTTGATTCCCAGGCTGATTTATTTATTTAATAACAACAATAACCCTTGCATTTGCTATGGCGCCTTATCACGTCTTCGAGATGTCTCAAAGCGCTTCACAGAATATACCGTAAAGTGAATTGATTATATTTTGTGGGCAAAACACAGCAGCTAATTGTGCACAGCAGTGTCCCACAAGCAGTTGTGGATTGAGTGACCAATTTATTATTTTTTTTGAAGGAATTATTAACCCCAAAAAAGCCAATTGACAACCGGGTTTCATACTTACTGCTAGGTTAACAGAGGGATGTGGAGTAAGGAAACTTGCCCAAAATTGCGCCCTGCCGCGAATCGAACCTAGGTCTCAAGCTTGCAAGGTTTAAGTGACCAATTTATTATTATTTAAAGGAATTATTGTTCCTTATTTACAAATTGAGGATAAAGGAAATCTATGTGCAGCGAATGCGCAGTCTTTATAAAACAAAGAGTTAAATAGTACAATACACAGTATGTGGATTCATTTCTTTATAGCACATTCCCTTTCCCCAATTAGATAACATCTCTTGTATTCAGTCTTGTGAATTGATGCATTTTACTTGTAGTTCATTATAATTCTAATCTCCTGCCTGTCAATTGCAGATGTTCACAACGCTTTCTCTCTCTCATTCTCATTGGGAGATTTAAGCAACATTTCCATAACAGTACAGCAGCAGATAAGACAAGAACTGACTGACATATTTATCGTAAAATGGTTTATCTCAAAGCTTTTCAAAGAGAAATATTGCTTCGCTAGGTGCTGTCATGTCACGCACCTTTTAGCACTGGTACACCAAGGGCAGCAATAACTGAATCTGCATCTATTGTGACTGAGTCTTTATTAAACAGGTAGGATTCTCTTACAGGAATCACTTTTGATGCATAGTACTATCCACCGTTATGTCTCACCCATTCCACCACTGATATAAAATGTTGGAGAATTCACTATGAACACCAACTTAACCCAGCATGGAAGCGACCTAACAGGTCAGAGCTGACAGTGACCCAATTCATGTTCAGCTGACTTCTAATGACAATATATGGGAAGTCTTTGGCAGAGAATAGCCAAGTTTCCCTATACTTTACCACAGAACTGGAGAATTGTATGCTGCAGTAGGAGGCCGTTTAGCCCATTCTTTCTCTTTGCTGATTAACTCTTACAGTCTTACACACCTTTATTAAGTTCTTTTTTTCTTTCCTGCAACAGTCTTGTCTCATTGGTGACTGTGAGGTTTGCTGGTATTTTGGGTGTGAGTGAGCCACAGGGGCTCTGCTGCAGGATTGAAAAAAATATAATATAATAATCGTTGCATTTGACCTAATCACTTTGTCAGGATGTCTCAAAGAGCTTTGCAGGATTTTCTATAAAGGGATGTTGCTGTGCGTATTTTGTGGGCGAATGGATAGAACAGCAAACTTAAGAGAGACCGTCTCTAGATACTGCGAATGTATCAATACAGGGATAGAATTTTGCATTACCAAAGTTGCAAACCAGTATAAGTCAATACAGTTCCATAAAGATCAAGTAGTCCTAAGCAACATCTTTCTTCAGCACTGATGTCAGGAATACTTTACCACCATCAAATGACGGGTCATTCACTTGTACCTCCCTTGGTGTGCTCCTGACTTCAATCATTCCACCTGGGGATTTACCACATGGACCCCAGGCACTTTCCCGCAGGAAAGGAAGAGGAAAAAAAAGTATAAGAACGTATAGTTGTCTTAAAGCTATCGGTCTTATAAAGCTAACGCCCAAGTTGGACGGCAGGTGGAAAGTGACCAGTTCCGCTGGTGTTCTGCTCCGAGACTGCAATACCAAATAAAAGCATAATATTGCAATATCAAAGCTACTCAAAATGTCAGGAATACCTTTTTAAACTGTAATATTAACTTTAGCCCACTGAAAAGGATACAAAAACACATTTCGAATAAAAAGAAAGCATTTTAAACCTTGGTTCGTAATAATATTAATTTGCATTTATATAGCACCTTTTACATAAAATAAACATCTCAAAGCAATTTACTTATCCTATCATTCCTTTGAATGTTTCCTTCTTTTATTTCCTCACTGTCCTTATTAAAATATTTGGATTATTTTATGAGGATTCTTTCTCCAAACTGTTCTAAATCGATCTTCTACTTTTCTTCCAATTTTCACAACCTGATTCAAAGGTTGAAGCAACTTTGCCTTACAAAAAACAATTTAAAATCTGGCCTTCCACTTAACCGGGAGATTGTCAGGATTCCAATGTAGAGGTCAATCGCTGACCAGGAACTGAAGGAGAAACTCAGGAGTAGAGGGACCGAGCATGTAAATTCACATCATGTGTGTGGCAACCAGGGGAACATTAT